GTTATATATTTTTCCAGTCTTATTTGATTTAAATCTAGTTCTCAGTTTTTCTGTTGGATTAGTCCTTTTGCAGGCTGAGCAGCATTTGCATATGTAGAAACATTTTTTCTCTGTCAGAAAATTTTTAGCTTTGTTTGGGCTTGTTTTTCTAAATTTTTTTGTAAGGTGCACTTTTAGGTTTGGTGCGCCTCTAAACACTACTTTTGGTCTTTCTGGAATTATATTTTTTAATAATTTGTCTTCTTTTAGTAAGTGCCAGTGTTTATTTAAAATACTTCTAAGTTGTCTATTTTTATTATTATAGTCTAACACAATTGGCAGGGAGATATTTTGATTTCTTTGGGTTTTTTCTTTGTGTATGAGTTCTTTTCTGTTCAGCAATAGTGTTTGATTTATAGTGGACTCTATCCCTTTAACTCCGTATCCTTTTTGTGTAAATCTCTTTTTCAGATCATTTGCTTGTTTTGTGAAAATCGGGGTTTCTAAACAGTTTCTTCTCAGTCTCATCATCTGACTCTTAGGTATGCTCCCCAACCATTCTTTGTAGTGGCAACTCTTGGTATCTATATAGTTATTTACATGTATGTCTTTAAAATGTGTTTTGGTATTTATTTTATTATCCTTTATATAGGTGTTCAAATCTATATAATTAACCTCAGTGTTGCTAAAACTTGCAGTTAAAACTATTCCTTCATCATTAGAGTTTAAAAAAGCAATAAAATCCTGTGCTGATGAAACAGATCCCCTCCAAATAAAAAGAAGGTCATATATATATCTTGAGTAGGATACCAGGTTTTCCACCCAGCCATTCCCATTCCAGATAAATAGCTCCTCCAATTCTGCCATGTAGAGGTTAGCGTAGCTGGGTGCAAACCTGGTACTCATAGCTGTTCCAGGTTTTTTTGTAAGTAAAAACCATCTTTAAACCAAAAATAATTATTTTTTTAAAAATAATATCTATATCTTCTATTAAAAAAATTATTTGATCCTGAATCATGCAGCCTTTTTTTCTATTATTGTTCTAATTGCCTGACAGCCCTTATCATGTTGAATTATGGTGTACAGTGATGGTACATCACAATTAATCAGTACAAAGTTCTCTTCCCAAGCTATATTATCCAATTTTTTAAAAGATCCATAATGTCTTTAAGATATGATTTAGTTATTGTGACATATGGTTGCAACAAAATGTCAACGCATTCGGATAAATTAGAAAGAAGAGACCCAATACCGGAGACGGTAGGTCGTCCAGGGGGTCTTTCTAAATTTTTATAAATCTTGGGTAGGAAGCAGATAACAGGGATCTTTGGGTGTTGGACATTAATGTAGTGGTATTCATTTTGATCCAGGATCCTGTTATCTACTCCCTTGTCCAAGAAATTTCTTAATTTTACTTTAATATCCAAAGTTGGATTACGAGCCATTCTGATATATGTGTTTAGGTCGTTCAATCGTTTATAAGCTTCTTGCTAGTATTGTTCTTTAGATAATATGACAAAGCTTACGCCTTTATCGACAGGTTTAATTATTATAGATGTATCATTATACAGATCTTTTAATATTTGTTTTTCTTTTCTATTCATGTTTGGTTTATCGCCAGTTTTTCTTTCTAGAGTTTTGAGATCTTTACAGACCTTTTTTTCAAATATTTCCAGGGCACTAGATTTATAGTGCGCTGGGTAGAATGTTGACTTTTTTCTTAAAGAGCACCTTTTGTAGTCCTCATTGTTAGTGTCGTTGTCCCTGTTTGTGTTTTCATATGTATTTTTACTTTTATTGATATAAAATCGTTTCCAGGTGGCATTCCTTACGAATTTATTTATATCTATATATTTGAGGAAAGAATTATAGGGTTTTGTGGGAGCAAATTTCCAACCTCGTTTGAGGACATTTTTGTGAGATAAATTGAAAATGCCTGTAGGTAAATTGCTTGACTCTTTTTAAAAAATCTCTCTAGCCTTCCTTTTTTGTTCTCCTCTACCTGATCGTCTTCCTCTAGGTCTCTTTTGCAGCTCTTTATAGGTGTTATATTTAGATGGTCTGTGTGTCTCTCTCGATTAGACATAATCTCTAAAAAAGAGGTTTCGTCAAATGGTTGACAAAAGGACAGGGCATGGTGTGCTTCTGTGTGTTTCTGTGTTGCCTTTTTCCCAAGAATATTTTCTTTCTTTTACTCTCATTTGAGGAGATGTTGGTGCATATGTGAATCTGTGTGTCTTGGGTCTCACAACCAAAGGTGATTCGTTTGTGGTGTGTTGTGTGTAATGTCTATTTTTTAGTTGTTCTCTTTCTTTTTCAGTGTGGTATAGTGTGTTGGTATTTAGTTTAGACTCCAAAGGTTTATTGTGTACGTGGATCTTTTTTGTATCCATCATTGTATTTTGTGTGTTGTCTTTTTCCACTTGTGGTGTATCTTTCTAGCTTTTTTTGGGGGGGAAGGGGGGAATCTATTCAAATTTGGTGTTCTATTTTTCTCATAAAAATCTTTACTTTGTAAACGTCTGGGTCTAAACTATTCTTTGTCCGAAAAGGTATGTGAGTTGTGATTTTGGTATGTTCCCCCATTTTTGTTTGGTAAATAAAAGTATACTTTATATATAGATACCTTCTTATTTTACCTACTGCTTCCTGGTACCATCATATCCAGAGGTGGGGATTATACCACTCTTGCTGGTTACACTAGAGAAAGTTCTGCTCTAGTAACCGTGAGTAATTTACCTTATTTATACATCTATTTTACATCAGTTCTTACTTCACCATTAGAGTTTTTCTTCTTTTCCTGTATTTACCTCTATATATATCCTGCATATTGCACTTTATTTGCAGCAATAGTGAAGACTACATCACCACATATCCTTAGACGGTGATTATTCCGTCCATGCGCACAACAGCAGAGCTCTAAGTTAGCTCAAAAGAACGTGAGTGAAAGTGATCCAAGTTTATTTACCACATATGCACTTTACATACTGGGCTGCACTATTATTTTGTCTTCTCATATTTGGAGGTCAATTGTATACAACTATTTAAAGACCTATGTACGTATAATTTTCTGTACATATAAACCGGGCGCTGTTTAGTTTTGTTTTCTTTATTAAATTATGTTCATGTTCCTTTTTTCTTTTGACAGATCTGTACAATATATTTACGTGTTGATCAGCACTTGTATATTGTAACTTGATGAATTTACTTACTGCCAACAATGCACCTTTTGTATTATTTTCTGGAAAATTTTAAATATCATAAATAAATAAATAAATAAAAAACAAAAGACCAGTTTAATTAAGATACATTATTCTTGTTCTACATTGAATGTTAGTAGCATATATTATTAGTAAGCCACCTAATATTTCTCAGAACAGCTACATACCCAAAATTAAAATTAAAGGAATACTCTAAGCACGAGGACCAGTTCAGTGTTTTAAAGTGGACATGGTGCGTGAATTCTCTAATTGCATACTCCAGTATGAAATGATGCACATACTGAGATGTTTAGAAGAACTGTTTAACTCCACTTCTGCCAGCATCATTAGCCAGCAAGGAACAAGCGTTTCAGGCTGTCTATTGTCAATCCTGTGCATGTTCCTTGTACAGAAGCTAATTAATTGATTGGGAACACTCTGCTAACACTTTCAGGCAATATAGTTTTTAAAGCCAAGTATAATTTACAAAATTTTCTATTAAAATCTGCACTTTCTTTGCAAAAGGAAAAAAGGGAACACACTCTTCCCCCATAAAGCTTTTCAGCAAGCTAAAGTGCTTTAGTGGTCTGGAGAAGTCCCTCAAAACCCATCTTTTCAGAAACACTTATGGCCTCCCAGACTAACTTCTATCTCACAAACCAGTCTCTTTCTCTCTCCTAAACAGACACTTTCCCACCTTGTTTGTTTGTTGTCCCTCCCGATGCTGTTCCTAGTCATAGGCGTGCGCACAGGGTGTGCCGGGTGTGCCTAATCCCCGTGGCCCGCGCTATGTGCCTCATCAAAGATCTCCCTCACTGACCCACAGGAAGTGAGGGAGGCAGGAGAGGACCCGGGAGCTCTTGCCAGCAGCTCCGCTGGGTTCCTCTCGCGAGGACGGAGCGTTGCCGCGATCTCTCACGAGTTCACTCACCACTGGACCACCAGGGATGGCAGCAGCACGGACCCCCTCCCTACATAAGGTAAGAAGGGATATTAACTAAACCACACAATACACGCAAATATACAGCACACACACACATACATCACCCTTACACACACAGCACTCACACTAACAGCACCCTTACACACACAGCACCTCACACACACACTAACAGCACCCTCACACACACACACACTAACAGCACCATCACACTAACAGCACCCTTACACATCACACACACACAGCGCCCACACACACACACAGCACCTACACACACACAGCGGTATATGTGTGTGGGTGTATATATATATATGTATACGCGGTGTGTGTTTGTGCTTTAGGGTGCACACCCTTATGCAATAGGCTGCGCACGCCTATGTTCCTAGTATATTGTTTTTTAAACCACCTCCTCTAAACTGTAAGCTTGTTTGTTGTCCCTGTAACATTTTGTAATTGTCTCATTTGTTGTTAAATTACCCCCTTCATAAACTTGGAAAGCGCTGCAGAATAAGTTGGCGCTACACCGCTATTCGGTATGTGTAAAAGGTATAATTTGCAGCTTTAAAGCTAAACTAAGCCTAAGTTTTGGAATTATCTTTGAATTGCTAATATTTCACACTGTGAATGTTGACAATTATTAGACATGGTTCCTGGCCCAAACATCAGTACAGCTACTTCCTCCAAGCAATCCAACATTACAGCTTTTCCTGGCCTCTAACCGAGTCACATGACTGGAGCTGACGTCACCGCGTTCCACTCAGTAAAGGGACAGCTCTATCCCACATCTCCCTCTCTGTGACCCGCCGCGCGCGCTGATTGGCCAGTTCGGGGTTGCTAAGCGGAAGTAGTCGGTAGTCAGGGGGCGGGGTTACCGTTGGTTTGGATGTGATGAGAGGCGGCAAAGAGTTGAGTAGCGGCGGGTGACAGCTGATCTGACCCGGGACAGGATAACCGATACCTGTTACAGCGCGCAGCTCCTCGCACCCGTTATACTCTGTGGATATCATGGGCCATAAATCAGACCAGCTGCTCATTGTGGTCTCCATCCTGGAGGGTAAATAATGTGTTTATTGTGTGAACAGTCTGACAGCCCGGCTACGGCGCTCTGTGGGGGCTATTTCACCCGCTTTGTAGAGGGGTGAGCGGTATATGCAGGTAGCAGCACTCCCTGGGGTAGGGGGGGTGAGCTATGTATTTGGTAGAGGGGGTAGGCTGTGTATTTAGTAGAGGGGTGAGAGCTGTGTATTTGGTAGAGGGGTGGCTGTGTATTTGGTAGGGGGGTGAGCTGTGTATTTGGTAGAGGGGGGTGAGCTGTAATGTTGGTAGAGGGGGTGAGCTGTGTATTTGGTAGGGGGGTGAGCTGTGTATTTGGTAGAGGGGGTGAGCTGTGTATTTTGGTAGAGGGGTGAGCTGTGTATTTGGTAGAGGGGGTGAGCTGTGGTATTTGGTAGAGGGGTGAGCTGTGGCATTTGGTAGGGGAGGTGAGCTGTGTATTTGGTAGGGGGAGGTGAGGCTGTGTTTAATTGGGGAGGTGAGCTGTGTATTTGGTAGGGGGAGAGGTGAGCTGTGTGTATTTGGTGAGAGGCGAGCTGTGTGTGTATTTGGTAAGGCGAGCTGTGTATTTGGTAGGAGGCGAGCTGTGTGTTTTGTGGTGGTAGATGGGGCCGAGCTGTGTGTTTGGTAGATGGGGGCTGAGCTGTGTGTTTGGTAGATGGGGCGAGCTGTGTGTTTTGGTAGATGGAGGCGAGCTGTGTGTTTTGGTAGATGGGGCGAGCTGTGTGTTTGGTAGATGGGGCGAGCTGTGTGTTTTGGTAGATGGGGCTGAGCTGTGTGTTTGGTAGATGGGGCTGACTGTGTGAGCTGTGTGTTTGGTAGAGGGGGTTGTGGCAAACCTAGCTACTCAAGACTGTGTGTGCATGTATAATATACTGTTACTTTAAGCCTGCCTACTTATACCCATATTACTTAGGTTGTGTTGTAAGAAAAAGAGAGCATTTGTATGCTTGTGACATGAAAGCCACAAGCATTCATATGGTAGTTTCACGAACAGTGAATTTCATTGCTGTTCGTGAAACGAACAAACTGCCGAATGGGAGACCACACACGGGGTCGTTTGTCTCCCATTAAACTATTGCAACATTGTATCCCCGGCCAATTAATGTGGTTCACGGGTGGTCGCCATTCGTATGCCGAACGAAAGCCCAACAGTGCTAAAAATGGCTACTCGACTTCACGAACACGGCCGGACTTCCAGGCTGTTTGGGAGACTCGTTCTTTCGGCATATTAAAGGACCACTCTAGGCACCCAGACCACTTCAGCTTAATGAAGTGGTCTGGGTGCCAGGTCCTTCTAGGGTTAACCCATTTTTTCATAATTATAGCAGTTTCAGAGAAACTGCTATAATTATGAATGGGTTAAGCCTTCCCCCTAATCCTCTAGTGGCTGTCTCATTGACAGCTACTAGAGGCGCTTGCGTGCTTCTCACTGTGAAAATCACAGTGAGAGCACGCCAGCGTCCATAGGAAAGCATTGTAAATGCTTTCCTATGAGACCGGCTGAATGCGCGCGCAGCTCTTGCCGCGCGTGCGCATTCAGCCGGCGGGGCGTAACGGAGGCGGAGAGGAGGAGGAGAGCTCTCCGCCCAGCGCTGAAAAAAGGTAAGTTTTTACCCCTTTCCCCCTTCCAGAGCCGGGCGGGAGGGGGTCCCTGAGGGTGGGGGCACCCTCAGGGCACTATAGTGCCAGGAAAACAAGTATGTTTTCCTGGCACTATAGTGGTCCTTTAAAGCTCTCTATGCCAGGAAAGATGCATTGAGATTTCTCTCGTTTTCAAGTATGTCCTGGGTGTGATAATGTGATTATCAGTACATTCTTACCCTATTATCTCTCTTGTACAGCATGGCCTGATGGGAAATGACCTTGCATGGTCAGTTTCCCACACAGTACCTTTGATAGAAACCCATTGCATGGGGACCTGTATAAATTGTGTGACATTGGAATAAAGCCTCAGTTGACTCCCAGACTATGTGTCATCTAGTTCTTGGGAAGAAGGGATTCCTGTAACGCTACCTGGATTATTATATGCTGTTCCTGTCTACCAGTGGAGATATTGTGGATTGTACTACCTCTCTGCTACAGGGGTGAGCTGTGTATTTGGTAGAGGGGGTGAACGGTGGTTTTTTGTTTTGTTTTTTGTAGAGGGGATTTTTATTTTGCAGTACACCCTGTGGTAGAGGGGATGGAGGTTATTTCCTGGTTTGTAGAGGGATGAGCGATGTTTTGTAGTACACTCCAGGGTTGAAGGGATGGTGAATATCCACCTGTTTGCAATCACAACTTGTATTTTGGTTTCTCAGTGTTATTTCCTGAATTCTGCTACTATTCCATCCGAGTTTCCGAATAATCTACATAAAGTGATGATGTAAACCTCTGTCTACAGTGGATTTCCAGGCTGGGCAAACACTCTCTGATACAGAAGGGCTGCCATGTCCATTTCTATTTGGTAGAATATAGTCCCAATTGATAGTGTTGTCCCGAGGTCATTTTTGATGCTAGAAAATACGCTTAAGGCTTGTCTTTGTATATCATGAAGTCCAAACTTTGAGTCCTAAAATCATATCTAAGCAGGTTACGTAATTGGTTTTTACACATATCATATTTTTTTTTTCTTCAAATTAGTTGAAACAATGCTGCACTTTTTAATAGTATACGATTGTCAATTTCTGGAAGACCTTTATGAAGAATAGCATTCATTTTAATCAGTACATTATTTGCTCACAAATAGTAACAACTTTTATACCCCTGTTTTGAATATATAGTAACTGGAGCTACTTTATAAACTGATAGCAGTTATATGCAGCCCAGTAAACAGTTTTGTTGACTATACTGTGTGCTGACCACACCTGTGATCTTTTCATCCTCACTCACTCCACATGTACAAGTTGGACCAAACTGGCACAGCAAAGTAGGTAGGAAAACTGCTACTGTTTGTGTCTGAGCCAGGGGGCCTTCTAATTGGTTTATTTGTGTGAATTGCCTCCGTTACAAGTCATCCTGAGAAATTAGTTGGTGCATGATATTCTCTGCACCTTAAAGGTACATTATGAGCATCAAAATCAGTTCAGACAACTGTAATTGTCCATTTACTTGGCTGTATTACAGGTAAATTTGTTTGTTTTTTTTCTCCCCCCAACAGAGCCTTTTTAGTCATACTTGTATTCCATAAGGCATATTGACACATCGGCTGTGCAACTTGCTTAAGTGAGCTTGCTAAGAGGTGGCATTTGCAGCATCACAGTATGATTTATTTTTTTAATTTTTTTTTTTAAACGGGTTCTAGGATCTAAGTGCAACCACATTATAGGGACCTTCTGGCACTTCTTTATTTTTTCACGTATTAGGTTAGATTACTGCCATCAGTCTCTAGAGAACTGCTGTATTGTGCTATGCAGTGTGGTTTAGAATTACCTGCTGCTCAAATCCTCCTATTGTTTACTGAGAGGTGGCATATTGAACCTTCAAAAACCGTTTTGTCACCTGGAATCTGTTAGCATTTGATCTAGCTCTGTGTGTGTTCATTTTTTTTTTTTCCTTGTTTATTAGTTATGGAAATCTTTTTAAAAAGTGGCGTAGAGAATAACATTTTTATAAAACATGTTAACAGGTGCAGTGATTTTTCAGTTTCTTGGCCTTGCTGAGAATAATTCAAATGTCCTTTTTGTTTTGTAAAAAGAAAAACGTCTTTGTGCAATACCTCAGACTTTTTGGTTTTTTTCCCCCTCTTAATTAAAGGGTTAATGTTTGGTTCTATGAGATGCTGAAATTGCTGTATGCGGCAGCAGAAGCTCCACCTTTTTTTTAATTTTTTTTTACGAGTTACGAGATTCTTGGACATTCTTCTCATGTTAGGAAAGTATATACAAACAAAAAGAGAATCTCCAGGCACTCAAGTTGTTCAAACCGCAGGCAGTTTTAATCAGGCCTGTGCATTTTTCAATCACAGCGGCCCACTGAGAAAGAGGCGGGGCCAGGGAGGGTGACAAGCTCTCTATGACAAGCCCGCCCCCTCTCAAAGTGAGCATGTTAGTTTAATGCACAGAGCATTAGAAAAAGGCCCTGTATGTGTTATGCACAGTCAGTGCAAGCAAATTTAATAACATGCTTGCACTGTTTGCGCTTTTAACTTGTCTCTGGTGTATCCATAAGTGGGATACCAGTGGACAAAAGGGCCAGGAAAGTGTGTACGGTGCATGTGTTTGGAGCCTGCTTGTGGGATTGCGTGTGTGTTGAGTAAGCTGATTGTGGTGTGGTATTGTGTAAATAGGTCAATTTAATTTGTGTTTGTGGTGTAATGTTTGGCAAGGAGCTGTAGCGAGTGTGTATAGGGGGCACAGTGTTACAGGGGTTGTAGCGAGTGTGTGCATTTGGGTTGTAGTGTGTGTAGGGGTTGTAGAGAGTGTGTGTGTTTAGAGAATATAGTATGTGTTTGCTTACAAGGAATGTAGTGTGTGCATAGGGGATCCAGAGTTTGTATGTCAGGAATGTAGTGTGTGTAGGGGATCTTGTGTGTAAAGGACCCAGAGTGTGTAGAGGAGAGAGTGTGTGTGTGTGTGTGTATGTAGAGGATTCGGAGTGTATATAGGGTAAGGGATCTAGAAGGTATCTGGAGCGTAATGTGTGTAGTGGTGCTGTGGTATATAATATTGTAAAGTGCTACGGAATCTGTTGGCGCTATATAAATGGCGATAATAATACTACTATTATGCATGCAGCACCCTTCACACATACACACAGCACACCCAACACACTGCTCCCTTCACACATACAATACGTCCAAACACATACATACATATATATTTGGACGTATTGTATGTGTGAAGGGCGCAGTGTGGTGTGTGTGTGTGTGTGTGTGTGTGTATGTGTGAAGGGTGCAGCATGTGTGTGAGGGTGTTATCTACTGTCACATTCTATGTTTCTAATTTTTTTTTTTTGTCTGTTAACTTACTGAGGGTTGTTTTATATATTCTACATACGTGTGTGCTGTGTGACTGAAGGTGCTGTGTGAGTGCTTTTAGTGTGTGTGTGTATATAGCAAAGTGTTTGTATAAATATGTGTTTGTGTGTTTTTTCTTTTTTTTTTTTTTTTTTTTTTTAAAAAAACCCCAAAACTATGTATTCCCCCCCTCCCCCTCCCGTCTTACCTTTTTATCCTGGAAGGGGGTGGGAAGCCGTGTTTCCATGGAGGGTGTTGCCTTCCCTGGTGGTCCAGTGGTGAGCCTGCGAAATCTGGTAACCACGGCAACGCTCAGACCTCGCTAGAGCTCCGCCGGTCCTCCCCTCCCTCCCTCCCTAGCCGGCGGCCGCATCTCAGTGCCTCTGGGCCGTTGAGGGAGATCTTTGATCTCCCCAGCGGCCCATGGAGGCACACTGCAGGGTCGGCACACGGATAGCGCTGGCCCTGCATGGGCTGGCCAGGGAGATCCTGTGATCTCCCTGCCGGCCACGGCCATCGCGGCCCACGAGGCATTTGCCCGGTATGCCCGATGGCCAGTCCGGGCCTGGTTTTAGAAGAACAGAAAAGAGCAGCAACGTTTTGACCTGCTAAGAGGTCTTTGTCAAGCTAACACCACATCATGTATACATCACCTAAATTACTTTAGCTAAATAAAGCAGTTTTAGTGTATAGATCATTCCCCTGCAATTTCACTGCTCAATTCACTGTCATTTAGGAGTTAAATCACTTTGTTTCTGTTTATGCAGCCTTAGCCACACCTCCTCTGGCTATGATTGACAGAGCCTGCATGGGAAAAAAAACTGGTTTCACTTTCAAACAGATGCAATTTACCTTAAATAATTGTATCTCAATCTCTAAATAGAACTTTAATCACATACAGGAGGCTCTTGCAGGGTCTAGCAAGCTATTAACATAGCATGGGATAAGAAAATCTTAGTTAAACAGAACTTACAATAAAGAAATTCTAAATATGGCTCTCTTTTTACAGGAAGTGTTTTATGGAAGGCTGTGCAAGTCAAGTGCAGGGAGGTGTGACTAGGGTTTATAAACAAAGGGATATAACTCTAAATGGCAGAGGATTGAGCAGTGAGGCTGCAGGGGCATGTTCTATACACCAAAACTGCTTCATTAAGCTAAAGTTGTTCAGGTGACTATAGTGTCCCTTTAAGCAGTAAAATAACATTTGTTAATGCAGCCTTAGCCACAACTCTCCTGTTTGTGATCACAAAGCCTCCCTACACTCTCTATTGAGCAGTGAGACTGCAGTGGTATGATCTGTCCACTAAAACTGCTTTGTTAAGCTAAAGTTATTTTGGTGCTTAGAGTATATCTGTTCAATGAGAACACTTACATAGGAACTTTTTATATACCCTTGTGTTTATTTAAAATTAAAGAAAACATCTTATATACTCAAAAGATTTATAGAATATAAATGTTTTATATGCATATATATACCACACATCTGTAATGAACAACATTTCAGCAACATTTTTTTTATTTATTTTTTTAACCTTTTATATATTTAAATTAAACCAAGAGGGCTGCACTCACCTGAACATGCATTCATTATAGGGTGCTGCTGGGGCCAGGCTTATGCAATATATGATCATATAATGTAACTAAAACCCATTATTTTGCCTAGGTGAGGTGTTTTTCTTTGAAATATTTGGAACAATTGTTTAGTGAATAAGTGAGTGCGATGGGTTGTCTATTTTGTATGTGTGTGTAGAATATAATTTTTTTTATTTTTTATTTTTTTTTGTGCGTAAGATCCTGGAAAATGTTTTGCTTTTTTTGCAGAAGCAACCATTCCAACGTTATACATATAGTAGGTGGAGCATTCACAACATATATCTGTTGAAAAACATTATGCAAAAATAGAATTGTACAGATTGTATTGCACCATCTATAGATGGTGGTTTTTGAGGATTTCACTCAGGTGTTTTTTAGAGCATTTACGAGTATCCCATACCCATAACTGTGCACTTTATTTATTGTGGTTATAAGCATTCCAAAGTCCATAGAATAAAACATATTGTATACACAGCAACATTTAACTTGGCGGATTGCCATAATTTATATTTGATGCAAAACTAGCAATTTGTCTTTTATGTGGATTATAATATTCTAGAACAGGGCTTGTCAAATTTGCTTGGATTCTAGGAGCCAGCAAATAGTTAGGAGCCAGGCGTTTTCAATATAAAATATGCAATTCTTAAAGGGATGCTATAGTCACCAGAACCACTAAAACAAGTTCTTGTGTCCATAACCTGTCCCTGCACACTTTTAAATGTAAACCCTGCCTTTTTAGAGAAAAGGCTATATTTACATTGTTGCTTAGTTCTAGAATATTGGCACAATATTTTAATTAATTTCTATGTAGGGCAGAGCTTATTAGTTAAAAGAACACGTAAGAAAAATTGTAAGCTATTATTAGAGTGGTCTCTGGGTTATTTAGATTTTAAGGTCGTCCACTGTATAAATTTAAATAGTTTTTACTTCCAGTCTCTCTGTGGCTGCTGCTTCTCTCCTGGCTAAGATCGTCATTACGGATGATCTCAGCTAATATACACTATTGCGCATGCCCTCCAGTTGATGCCATGCTACGTTAATCAGCATCTCCCCACAGAGATGCATTAGCTCACTACATCTGTATTTGTGCAGAGCCAAACCTGTGTCCTGCAAAGATTGAAGGCCAGTAAGGCCTGTGTTCAAACGTCCATTATTATTATTTATATAGCACAATCAGATTCCATAGTGCAGTAAAATGGGTGGACTAACAGACATGTAATTGTAACCAGACAACGGGACGCACAGGAACAGAGGTGGAGGGCCTTGCTCAATGAGCTTACATTCTAGAGGGAGTGGGGTATAGTGACACAAAGGATAAAAGTAGGGGTATGAAGTAGGTTGTTAGAAAAGTATTCACTACTTAGTAGGTCATTTTTGACAGTTGCAGGAGAGGAGTCATGGGGTGTGGGGGATAAAAACCTGCTAACAATTTAATTGATATGCTTTCTTGAAGTGAGTTTTCAATACATTTTTGAATGAGTGGAGACTGGGGTGAAAGTCTTACGGAGAAGGGAAGGGAGTGCAGCTCTGGAGAAATCTTGGAGGCGAGCGTCAGAGGTGGGAGTATGGACAGAGGATAGACGTAGGTCTTTGGCAGAGCGCAGGGGCCAAGACGGGACATACTTGTGTATTAGGGAGGATTGGTAGGTTGGAGCAGTATTATGTAGGGACTTGTAAGCAAGCACCAGCATTTTAAATTGAGCCCTATATCTAACTGGAAGCCAATGCAGGGATTGGCAGAGCGGGGAGGTGTGCAAGGTGCGAGCAGACAGAAAAATGAGCCTCGCTGCCGCATTCATTATAGATTGCAGAGGTGCAGTCGTAAGACCCCTGAGAAGGGGATTGCAGTAGTCAAGGCGAGAGAGAACAAAAGCATGGACCAGCACCTTAGCTGCATCTGGCGTTAAATAGGGGCGGATGTGCGCTATGTTCTTGAGATGGAAGCGACAGGATTTGGCGATTGATTGGACATGAGGGGTGAGGAGAGGTTGGAGTCAAAAAGAACACCCAGGCAGCGAGCCTGCGAGGTGATGGTAGCGCTGTTGACTTGGAGGGAGACAGACACGGGAGTACTAAAATGTGAGGGTGGAAAGACCAGAAGGTTTTTGTTTTGGACAGGTTGAGTTTAAGGAAGGGAGAAGCCATCCAGTTTGAAATTGCAGAGGCAGTCAGAGACACTAGTCAAGATGGGCGGAGAGAGATAAGAAGAGGACAGGTAGATTTGCGTGTCATCTGCATGGAAATGATAACGGAAGCCAAAGGAGCTAAAGAGTTTACCAAGGGAGGCAGTATAGATAGAGAACAGTCGGGGACCAAGGACAGAACTTGGGGGACGCCAACAGAGAATGGTGGGGGGAAGAGGCAGAGTCAGAGGAACATAGAAAGGGCACTGGGAGAGGTAGGAGGAGCACCAGGAGAAAGCAGTATCCCGTAAACCAAAATTACAGAGAATGTGAAGAAGCTGTTGATGATCAACAGTGTCAAAGGCAGCAGAAAGATCAAGGAGAATTAGGATAGTGTAATGGCCGCGAGATTTAGCAGCATTTAAATTGTTGGATACTTTGGTCACAGCCGTTTCGACAGAATGACCAGCACGGAATCCAGACTGAAGGGGGTCAAGCAGAGAGTTAGATTCGAGGAGGTCTGTCAATCTGGTGTACACAACTCTCTTGAGGATCTTGGAGGCAAATGGCGGTAGTTGGATGGGGAGTTGGGGTCAAGGTTGGGCTTTTTCAGAATCGGGGTTACAGTTGCATGTTTGAAGGGTGAGGGAAATGTACCAGAGGAAAGGGAGAGATTGAAAAGTTTAGGAAGAGGGAGACAAAGTGCGGATGAGATACGAGGGAATAGGATCGAGTGAACAGGTGGTGGGGCGGGAGGACTGGAGCAGAGCAGAAACCTTTTCTGCTGTAGCAGGTGCAAATTAGTGTAGAATGGTAGAGGGAGTGGGGTTGGGTGATATATTGGTAGGGTAAGGAGATACATTGGAGATCTCTTCTCTGATTGTAGAGATCTTCTCAGTGAAGTGAGATGCAAAGTTTGTAGCGGACAAGGTGGTAGAAGGAGGGGGGAGTAAAAGGGGCAAAGAAGAGCATGAAAAGAGTGAAATAGGTGTTTGGGTTGATAGGACAGTGTACATATGAGGGTGTTAAAGTAATTTACCTTTGCAGCGGAAAAAGCCAGGCTGTAGGAGCACAGCAAAAATGTACTTCTATTCACCCTACACCATAATAGGTTACTCTTGGCTACTGTTGGGAGTTTCTATCCTTGAAGGAAATTTTGTGAATTGGGTATCAGATGTTACCTTCTAGTGACAATACCACAAAAGTTTTATTCTCCTATTTGAGCACTGTAGAACTATGTTTTCTATGGAAATGGTCTCAGGAAGTAATTTCACTTGTACATGTGCATTGGGGTAAAAAACACAATTGGAGTTTCTTTTCCCAATATTGATTAATGCTGGACATTTATTAAATTTCTGTTTGGCAGCTTTAGACACGCTCATAGCTGATTAGTATGTGAATCTATAAACCAAAAAATAGTTGAATGGCCAGAAATGCACTTCTAGGAGCAACAGTAGCTCAACTGTGAAATGGTAGGTATTTGTCAGCTATTGGCACAGGAAACCTTTGCACAAGAACTGTTTTTCTTAACGTAAATATGGCTGCTTGGTCATAGAAACCTAAACCGTAATTGGGCTAACAATGTAATACATAGAAACTTAAATAGTAATTGTGCTTTGCCAAAAACGTGTATGTATTAAAATACACAAGTGGAGCAACTACAGCCTGAAGTGTCCCTGTTAGATGTCTCCTCGCTGGAAGAGCATAGCTTTAACCAATTTTATTTTAAGTTAGTTTTTTATTTTGAGGTCTTCTCTAGTGTATAACTGAGAGCAATCATGTAATGTTTGTGTTACTGTTCAAGTTCACAGCAGGACTTCATATGTTGTATGCAATCTCCTCACCCTTTAGAAAATAAAAATAGACCATTTGGGGATCATACCGAAAACTTCCAACTAGACACGCAGGCAGAATTCCTGTGGTCGTGTTTTATTTAAAAAAAAAATATTTTTCTTTTGTTTGTGTGTGTGTGTGTGTGTGTGTGTGTGTGTGTGTGTGTGTATATGTATGTATGTATATATATGTGTATATATATGTGATAGAGATATATATATATATATATATATATATATATATTTGTAGCCAATGTTATTGACTACTATATGCTTATTCTGCTGGGATGGAGTCTGCTTCTAGGGATATATTTGTAAACACCACATCAAAGTTCAATTTCTTTGCTAATGTTGGAGCTGCACTGAAACAATTATCATTGGGACATTCAGTGGTCCAGACATGCATATTACACCATGACATCATGTTAGATGATTGCAGTCTCTTACACATAGAATACTTGATTAAAATGAAATGGCCTTTGTAGGATAAAATCTTATATAATTCTAACACACATGAAACAAGAGGATTTTAAATTTTGAGATATATATATATATATATATATATATATATATATATATATATATATATATATATAACTTAGGAACACTTTTTTCCATTTCTACCCAGCACGGCAGCATCTGAATTAATATTTAATACAGGCTTCCCTGGTGCTATTGATAATACAATGTATTCTGTAGCACTTTATGCATTGAATTCAGACTTCATCTTAAAGGGACACTAGGCACCAGAACAATACAATTAAAATGCTTAAAGGACCACTATAGTGCCAGGAAAACATACTCGTTTTCCTGGCACTATAGTGCCCTGAGGGTGCTCCCGCCGGGCTACCCCATACCTCTTTCTCCAGCGCCGGACGGGCGACTCTCCTCCTCCTCCTCCGCGGCTGAATGCGCATGTGCGTCAAGAGCCGCGTGTGCATTCAGCCAGTCTCATAGGAAAGCATTCACAATGCTTTCCTATGGACGCTGGCGTCTTCTCACTGTGATTTTCACAGTGAGAAGCGCATCTAGCGGCTGTCAATGAGACAGCCACTAGAGGCTGGATTAACCCATAGGTAAACATAGCAGTTTCTCTGAAACTGCTATGTTTATAGAAAAAAGGGTTAAACCTAGCTGGACCAGGCACCCAGACCACTTCATTAAGCTGAAGTGGTCTGGGTGCCTATAGTGGTCCTTTAATGTAGTGTTTCTAGGGCAAACAATGCCTTTACTAAGAAAAGGCAGTTTTAGCTTTGCTGCCTGTGTCCAGATCCTTAATGAATGTACTCTCTTTAAACACAAGTCCCTGGATACAATAGATTTTAGTTTTTTCTTGCTAGTTTTGGCATTAGATCTAGAGGGGATCTAATTTGGATCACACCTAGAAACAAATAGTCCTCAGCAGAAAGGACCAGATGTACTTATAGACAAAGTAGGTAACTATCTTCTAAAGGCACCTTTACTACAAGTGCTCATGTTTCCCCCTTTTTACATCTATTTTGACATGGTTTTTTTATGTTGCTACTTTGTAATTAAATATTGTTTTATTATACTTATTTAAATGGCTTTGAATATTGTTGGTTTAAATTTTTTATATACTTTTTAAAATATATATATTTTACGTTTGTGAGGGTAAGAAGGAGATATGTATTTAAATTTTTTTTTTTTCTCTTTAGGACGACATTTTCCAAAACGCTCCAGACATATGCTTGTTGTGGAAACAAAGTTTGACGGTGAGCAGCTATCAACAGATCCCGTACCACACTTAAATCAGCCACAGTTTGCTACAGAGCTCGCTTGGGAGCTAGACAGAAAAGCACTTCATCAACATAGGTACAAGTCTGCTTTTCCTCTGGCAGGTTCTTTCAGTCTTCTGTAAAGGAACCACCACTACATGCATGTGGGGTTGTGCTTTTAACTTTTTCTTGAACCATAAACTTGGAGCAGTCACAGTGCAGCAATTCACACATTTTCTAAAGAGTGGAACTGCTGCTCAGTAGTAAACTGCGTGTCTGAAAAAACCTACTGAGTGGTTTTATGGTATATGCTTAGCCTATTCTTCGAAAGTAATAGGGCAACAATTATTTGCTCAATTGTTGCTCCCCTGCTTCTTAGTGTAGAGATCTGGAAGCTAGAAACCTGTAAGTAAGTAAGTAAGTGAGTGTGTGTGTGTGTGTGTCTCTACGTGAATTTCACAGGCTTTTCTCTCAGGTAATATTTGACACAAACATGAGCATGTCTTTCTAAAGTGCTGAATCAGCATGTTTACTAAACCACTCTTTGCACCATAGACACCTCTTTCGTAAGGGAGGGAAAATAAAATTTTTACTAAACTACATTTTTGGAGCAGGAGCAATGTTTTATTCTGCTAAACAATGACCAGATGTTTATAAAAGTAGAGGATAGCAGTAATTCTTTCCATAATGTGGGCTATATCTCATCTTTCACCTTCTCGTAATGAGTGTGGAAGAGAAAATAATAGTTATTCATTTTAATGCAGCTTATTCTGCAATTCAGTTCCTATTTCACTATTTGCTAATTGTTTTGATTTATTACCCTTGATGAGATTTGGTAAAATAATTTCAGAAAGTAAACCACTAGTGTGTTGCCGTTCTTTTAAACTGTAGATTTTGCTTTGTGTGTGCGTTGGGGGTGTAAACAATGTAGTTTAGAAGTCAGCTAAGGTTATCTTAACAAACAGTCTTTGTTGTATGTTCTTTATTTTCTTTTAATAGACTTCAACGAACTCCCATCAAACTCCAGTGCTACGCCCTGGATACATTGACTTCTGCTAAAGAGTCTGTTGGCTATGTGATACTAGACTTAAGAGCTGCTCAAGAGACAAAACAAGTAATCTTAATTTTACTATTGATCTGACTTGCAAACATAACTTTTTCATACTTTGTAATGTTAAAATCAGATGTTATTCTGGTAATCAGAGATAAGGATTCTTCCTATTATGATTATTATGCATTATACAATGCATATCAGTGTGAGGGAAAGCAAAAACCTTCTATATTGTTCATGCAGGGTGTGTACGCTTTACACATCATAAAGACAAAATTGACATTGGTTGCCTAATTGAGAGCAGTAGCATGCTTTATACAAAGCGCTGCCACCAAGTCCCTCTCTGAAATGAGTAGGCTCAAGATACCATATGCACTTTGCAGTAATGTAAAGTGCTTATGGTGTCTCGACTGGCCCTTTTAACCTTTTTGAAGTTTCCATTAACTTTTGACAACTGTGCTCAGAAGTTCGCACAATTAGTTGAAGCACTCAAAGATGCTTTTAGAGTAATTTACACTAGTCTCGGCAAAAAACGCTCGTATTTCTGGGGAATCTTGACAAATTTAGCTTCCACGCTGGCTCCTATATGTAATTTCTGTATACTTCATTTAGAAACCCTCCTTTTATTCCAAGTATTGCAGCTGTTTAGAATTCTTAGTACCTCCTTAGTGGCTTCTGATATTTGTACGTAGTGGTGCACGTTTACAATATACTCCTAGAGTGGCTGCATTATTCTTGGATCATACTCCCTGACTTTTTTAAAAGCAGGTGAGTGTGCTTACTCTTAAATCAGTCTTACAGGGTTATTTACCAACTCCCAACTGTAGCAAATCTAAATTGTAAACTTTAGGTCAAAATAGAAGATTTGGAAATATTATTAAAACTCTGTTGTAGTCACTGTTTGGCTGTTTTGACCTATTTTGCTCTTCAGATTTTAATATGGTACAATTCAGAGTTTAGTGAATAAAACATCTTGATGAACACTTGACAAGCTTATTGCTCCAGCGAGCTTGTCAGTCATTTTATGAGACAGCCATCAACCTGCCAGGCTGTAATTTGTGTGAGCCATTCTAAAGAGGGGGCATTATCTGTGTACTAAGCACTGCAAGCAGCAACATGGTGAAAACTACCACAGTACACCAGAACACGGGATCTCTAAGTAATGCTGAAGAGTCTTCATGCACACAGTTCTTTTACTCTGCTGGTGGGTGGTTTTCGGAAATGTATCATTACATTTGTATGTTTCTTTGAGCATGCACTTTACTGTATAATGGGCCTCACTGAAGAATAACATTGAGAATCAAGTACTTGGTTAAATAAATGACTGTTATAATTATGCATATTATCCATGATTCCAAACCTACATGTTCTAATGCCTAAGATTGTAAATTTTATACATTGTTATCTCTCTGATTACAGGCACCAAAATGGCATTCTTTATTAAGCAGTAAATATACAAAATTGAAACCTGAAATACAACTCTGTGTTACATTGGAAGCAGACACCAAACCGGCTGTGGAGGGATTTAAAGCAAAGGAAGCTCCTCCAAGAAGTATTAAATGTATGATATTTTATCGGGTCGAGGTGGTGGTGGTGGTTTCATTGAGGCATTCACTAACTCTGGGCAGCAATGACAGGCTTAGAACACTGGATTAATATGCCCACGGTGTTATCAGCTTATCATTTTTAGAATTAGATTTACTTTTAATAGCTGCATAGATGAGTCCCCCTTTTTTTTTGTGTGTGTGTGTTCTAGAGTGCAAATAAAAAAAAAATTAAATAATGTTGAACTATTCAAAATATAAATTTTCATCTTATTAAATTTCCTGTAGTGCCCAGAGAAATGTCTGGTATAGATCCAAAGAGTCTTGTTGCTATCCTGAATGAAACAGAGGGATATCATCAGATTGGACCAGCTGACTACTGTAGGGACTACTTTGTACTTTCTGTAACAGTGGCTTTTGCGACACAGTTAGAACAGGTAAACTTATTGTTATTCTTGGATGATTGGCAACTTTGTTTTCTATATTTGCTATTGTAATGTTTTTACAACATTTAATTTGTTGATATGGATACATGTGTTTCAAACTCTATATCCAAGGTTGGAACCTGGGCATCGAAATATCAATTAGCGGCATTTGTTTCAGGTAGTACTGTGTACTCATTCCAGCATGTCCTGTCTAATACTTCTTGTGTTTTTACTGTGTTTGGCTGCTGTATTAAGCAGTGTTTAGACCTTCAGAGTTTTTTTTAATTTTTAATTTTATTTTTTATAAAACAGATTTCTTCGTTCTGAAAATAGAAATTGGATTAGTTTATCAGTTACTTCATGTTCCAGAACGTTTGAAAAATACCTGAAAAGCAGAATGAGGGATGGGCCCATAGATTAAATGTAATCGATGTAGTCAAAATGAAAATAACAAAGTGTAAACTTCATTAAAGAGAGGATAGTGTTTTTTTGTTTTTGTTTTTTTAGGGAGAAAAAAAAAGAATCATTGAAAACCCATACAATAAGTTATTCCAATACAGGGGTATTCTAAGAGACAAAAATAAAAGAAATAAAAACTTACTAGATGTCAAGGAATTAGAAAATAAATGTTTAAGAACTCACAACGAATTTACCATAACGGGCACTCAAAGCACAAAAAGAGCTTTAGCTTAATTAAGTGGTTTTGGTCTATAGATTATGACTCTGCAGTATCATTTCTTAATTTCCTGTCATTTTGGAGTTAAATTAGTTTATTTTTGGAGCCTTAGCCACATCTCCCCCGCCTGTGACTTACACACTTTAAATTCTTAGCTTCCCTTGTTGCACATAGTGTTCAATTTATAATTTCTCATCTCCTGCTCTGTTAATTGCCTGCTAGAGCAAGCAGTAGTCTCCTATGTTTGATTAAAGTTTGTTGAACAGGAGGGCGGGCCTGACTGCCATGCCTGCAAGACCTGTTTGTTGAGAGCTCTGGGCAACTACAGACAAAATCAAGGTTCTTGGGGTCATTACTGGACATTAATGCACCCTAAATTGACATAGAAGCTACACTAGCTTGGGTTCGACCCACCTACCAGCGATTGAGTGGTGTACACTAATTTGGAGGGAGCTCCGAGCGTTTTGTGACCTTGTGTGCCCCGAGAAAGGAAAAATGGGAGCAGCCTGAGCGGAGTCCATTGCTGGCTGGTGCCCTGTTTCCCACCCCACCCTTTGAAATGGTAGGGGTGATCCCAGTCCACACCCTAGAGGTCCCTTTGGAAAGCTAAGGGCGTGCGGCACAAATGTTAAGGTGACACCACAAGACAAGCACAATGGTGGCTGTCGTGTGCTCTTTCAACCTCAACAGTGGAGAGTGATATCGGCTAACCAGGATTTTTGAAGCTTTTGGGAGAAGCTGGCGGATTGTGTGTAAATCGCGGCCCATGCTGCACAGACTATGGCTCCTCTGGGTCTTTCATTCAAGACGGAGCAGTGGGAAGATTGCTGGATTTATACAGACTGCACAAGACTGTCACACCAATGGTATGTTGGAGTGGTGGAGAGTGTGAGCAACCATTCATCACTCCTCAACTCAAAAAGGCCATACTCTACTATAACTGAGGCGTGAAAAAAGCAGCCGTTCGGCCTACTTCCATTTCTCTGCCGTCTGCTACATTGACCTTCAAATGGGACATTTTACCTGATGACTACTTCACCACAGGGACCACTGCACCACAGCAAGTGGCTACAGGCTACACCAGAGGGGTGTAGGTTAATGAGACTATGACTCCTGATGGCAGACTTGCCACAGTCCCGATGCTTTCATGTCCTGTAATGTTTGTTTTAAGCCACTCCTTTTTTTTTTTTTTTTTTTTTTTTTGCTTCCCTCCATCTACTACATTGCTTACTTGGGGTCTTGTTTACCAACTGTCTATTGTGGGGGTCTCATTGAGTGTACAACCAATTTTTATATTAGTTTTAAACAGTCAAAATAAACAAATTTTGCCTTTTTAAACATCCACTGGAAATGTTATGATCTACCTTCTTTCTTTGTCACAGTTTCTATGCATTGTGTAAATCTTCATCTTTACTCTAAAAAAATTTGTTTTTTGTACTGTTTGCTGGATTACCTATATGGTTTATTATCTTGAGTATGTATAATATCGATGCACGTCAAAAATACTAAAATTGCCACAACAACTAAAAGTTCACTGAACAGAATGGTAGGTAAGCATTTATAACTTATTATAAGTTTAGTATCATTTTTATTTTTTATTTTTTTTAATATATATATTATTGTGGGAGTCTGTAAATGACCACTCCACACACTTAAATACCATGTTGGTTGTCGAGTTTTCTTTGCGTTTGATTATTGATAGAAATTATAGAATGGTGGTTTTATTGACACCTACAAGATATCTCAGTTAGAAGGAACTTTCCTGTTGTGGGCATAGATTACGTGACTTTATCTCCACGTGATAAGTGATACATTTGTGTACTTTGTACACATTTCATAAAAGTATATTTATATTGTAATTATTATCCTTATGTTTTGTCTGATTTGGGATTGTGTTTTGTCATTTTGTTTTCCAGTTAATTCCAAGTAATTTAAGGCTTCCAGAACCACAACCAGATTTTTTCTTCTATTACTCTTTGTTGGGAAATGACGTAACAAATGAACCATTCACTGATTTAATCAATCCAAACTTTGAGCCTGAGAGAGCATCTGTTAGAATACGGAGCAGTTTAGAAGTGCTTACCATGTATCTCTCTGTTCAGCCTAATCTTCAGGTAAGAAGCTTGTGAAATATGGTATTATTGATGTTTATATGCAATGGCCATCTTCAGTTTTCATGTTGTAATCTTATGTTAACCAATAATGGTGCATCCTCCAACATTTTATTTTTTTAAGGGATTTTAGCAACTTCAATAATCTAAGCTTCTAAAAGCTGAAGATTCCTTGTCTGCAGCCTTTGCAAACCCTCTCCTTTTTCCCCAACACAGACTGAAAAAGTGAAGCGCTGCAGAATACTCAATCAGTAGCTTCTCTTTGAGAAGCCTGTGTGATGAAGCAGTAGGCACGCGATTGCAGGATATGACCCGCTCCATTCACAAATCACTTCAAGTTGAAGTCCCTTAAAATTGGCATAGTTATGGGGTGCTAGTGACCAAGAGAACTTAAAGATGGTTGTCCCACAGAGCAAGGTTATGCCATAAGATGCCTTGTAAAGTGTTATTTACTTGTATATGCAATGCAAAATAAAAAGCACAGATGCTATAGTACATGCAATCTTTTATTTTTAGTAATGATTAAAATCTGGAAACGTGTTTACTTTAATGTTGACATACACAACCGTGCATTATTTGAGCTTGCCCCTTTCTTAAGCAGGCGTAAACCAGGTAGAATTTAACAGTTGGCATAGTAAGACAGAAATTAAGTTAAAAATTATTTAGGGTTCACTATAGTCACCAGAAAAACTACAGTTTAATGTAGCTATTCTGGTTGTCTACAGCCTGTCTCTGCTGGCTTTTTAATGTAAATATTGCATTTTCAGAGAAAAAATGCCTAGGAACATCTCTAGTGGCAGTCACTCAAATGGCAAAAAGCATTGGCTTGGCTGAGATCGTCCAATTTGATGATGGCCAAGGAGGTGGAACTGTGCCAAGACCAGCACGGTGCTGGAAAAAGTTGTTTGACATCTTTTTAACTGGGAGCATAGGGGGCTGGACACCTAAGCATCACATTTAGAACTATAGTGCCAGGAACACTTTAGTGTTCTTTTTTAATTGCATTGATTTTATGAATCCCTAATACATTGTTCCTTGAAAGACACTTTAGAACACTACATTTGATTGTTGTATATTTAATTTGTTTGTTTTATTTAGATACATCTTTGTTGCGGTGATCAGTCTCTTGGAAGTACAGATATATCTTTAACTGGATTGCTGAAGAGAGCCAGCACAGAAATAGAGCACCACCCAGTGGTTATTGAAGGTGCTTTCATTCTCAAGCCACCTAATCGTGCAAAACAAAACCTGCCATCCATGCAAGTAGAAATTTCACCTACCGTTGGAGTCTCAGTCGCTCTCCAGAAGGAAGTTCTACAGCAGGTGACCTTGCAATGGGTATTGTTATTATATGGCTAGATAATCTCTAGGTCACGTGTTTATTTATTATAAAATACATTGTAATAAAAAGATATTTAAAAAAAAAAAAAAAAGCAATTTGTATTTTAATATTGAAATAAAACAAATACTATCTTGAGCAGTATTATGCAAGACTAAACAGTAAGTTGTACGCATAGAAAATAAGATTCTCAAACAAAAACCTGTTCAAATGAAAGCTCGGTCAAATGAAATGTATTTTTTTGCATATGAAGTGTTCTTTCACAGTAATCTCTAATATGGTTTAATTTAACTTGGCTTCTTTCCCCTTCATTCTGGTCTGATTCTTTATTATTATGTTTAGACTGTACATGAGCAGAAAGACGATATTGAAAAAAATGGTACGGAAAAGATTGTATCGACTGCACCTCCAAAGTCTCCAGTTTCAAATGAAGGTCCAAGTGTCTTCCCAACTAAACCTGCACTGTTTGGTGATTCTCCCCCAACAAAAGACAATGCCACAGAAAGTGAAATTGAAAGTTTAAAATCAGATCAAGACTTGCAGGTGGCGCTTGCATCTTCTAAACAAGTCACTTCAAAGTCTCCGGTACCATCAGATTGCCTTGCTTCAGGTAATAGATTGTGTTTAGACGTAATGCTTATGTGGGTTTTTTTTTTTTTTCTTCCATGGCCCAGGCTCTTAAATATTCAGGTGAAACACTTTGTAGAACATCTCCAAAATAAGAAGCTCAATATGGGAGGATAAAAAGTCTGTAAAGATTTTTTTATTTTTTTATTTTATTTTTTATATTAAAGTCAAATGCTGTAGTGAGAAGAATAGTGTTGGCACTAAAACTCAAATTTTGTCATGTATTCATTAGTAAATATTTGTGGATTTATTTTTGTCTCATTCAAAGAGATAGATATATAGATATATATTTATATATATATATATATATATTTATATTATTTATTATTTTGTTTTTTTTAGGTGACCATAGTCAGCGTCCTGCTACTCAGACAAACTCACAGCTTTCTAGGTCTGCTTCTGAGTCTACTTCAGGACAGAAAATCGCAGTACCACCCGCAGCACATCACTTCTGTTTCTCAATAGACTTAAGAAGTATCCTCAACACTGATGTCTCCTTTCCTATTAACTGTATGCTGAGGTATTTTGGCTTTCTTTAAATATTTCAACAATTCAATTTGTATGGCTGTTTAGTTAAGATAAAAAAAAAAGGTGTGGGAAAGAAAAGGGCACTGTAATCCGTCAGTCACATTCCAGATAACATACTCATGCAGCTTACAGCTAACCAAGCATGCACTGTAACTGGCTGACAAAATCCAATTCCGATCACAATGGCAATTCTCATGTTTACTAAAGCCAAATATGGTCGGTAGTTTGGTCTAGTTGAGCGAATCACTTGGATACATTCGGTGTATGGATTTAAATCCATGCCTTCGCAACGAACCCTATATTAAGTATAGATAAGAAGATACTCAAAGCATCAATATTAATAAAATTTAGAACTCAGTTTTTTTTTTTTTTTGCATGTGAATTGATAATTTGGGGTATTATTTGCCCGCTACTTGGGCTTAAAACCCTAGCTAGTACAATGATGAGATAGTTGTCAGTCGACCTTCACTTAAAATAATAAAATAAATAATAAATTAATTAAACAAAAAAAAAAGCTGTCACTAAAACCCCCATATTACATTAAGGAAGCTTTTATTTACTAAATCTTTAAAACTAGCATCTTGGCAGTTATTCATGACCAGACACTTGTAAAATATTATGGGTGAGGGCAGACCTAGTCCTTCACACCTGATGACATCTGGTGGGGGCTACTAAATTAAAACCACTGGGAAACCTAATGCTCCCACCCATTATCGGTGAGTGGTGACTTTTAATATGTGGGGGAGCCCCTACAAGGACTTCAAGTAACACAAGGTTATGGGGGTGGACATACAATTGTTCTTCTTCTCCCGCCTTCAGGGTGGCAAAAGGTCCCCAATTCACTAGCCACACTAATTTTTTAAATAAATTGAAACCTACCCTTACACCCTAATAATAGTGAGGTGGGGGGGCATTAGAGTTTTTTTTTTTTTCACAGGTATTAGTTTAACATTCCATCTGAAGTCGTCGTTTTTTTTTTGTTTTTGTTTTTTGTTTTTTGTAAATGCACAATCATGCAGAAAACCAAAAGAGAAAAATTCCAAACAGCAATGCAAAAAAACTAAATCCGCCTTTGCTCTGTGACGAATGATGCTTAAACGTTTAAAAATCCTTTTATGAAGGCTTTTTGCTTGCTTTGGATTCTTATTCAAGCATTCTGATTTGGTTTTATGAAGATTTTGTAGCTTTGAAGCCTCACTGTGTGAGGATCCCTCACAGAACTAAGATGGATTTAATTGTTTGCCTTGCATTTTTAATTTTGAGAAATATATTTTGTACTACAACATGATTTTGTAATGGTACTAGTTTTGTCTGTGTGTGAGTTAAACTTTAGACATAGACCATGTTTAAATTGTTTAAAAGACTGAAATTTAGAGAGAGCTATGGAAAAGTGGTAATTTCTGTTTGCCTTTTCTGATATGCGTTTATGAATTTCTCTTTTCCGACAGGTACTCTTACCCATTTTTTGGCAGTGCAGCACCCATCATGACTAACCCTCCAGTGGAAGTCCGGAAGAACATGCAGGTTTTTCTCCCTCAATCTTACTGCGCATTTGATTTTGCTGCTTTGCCCAATCAACTTCAGGATACCTTTTCCAGGTATGATCTATCAGCAGAAGTATAAACAACTAACCAGCATACCCAGGGGGAATACACACATTTTTAGACTTATTTATATCTGAATTTATTTTTGTGTATGTATTCTTGACATTATGCCAGTTTTTTTTTTTTTTTAAATAAAGCATTTTGTTGTTTTTGGAAATGTAGTAACTGTGAAACTGATGTTATTTCTTTTTCTGCTTCAGCTTACCATTGCTGGTTGAAGTGTGGCACAAGGATAAAATGGCAAAAGACATTCTGCTGGGTGTAGTGAGGCTTCAACTTTCAAATGTTTTAACATCCGAGAGAACAAGCTTTTTATCACCACATGGGGACCAATGCTGGCGGCAAACCTTTAGTGACATGACACCTGTTATAGCTTCAGAAGGGTGAGACTTGTAGATCACACACGCACAAATTTATGTTTAAAACTCCTAATAATTTAAGTATTTACATTGAATTAACTACATCCATAATCCCTACAATAATGGATAAAAACGTTTGTGTCATTCTGACAAACGTTAAAAAAAAAAAAAAAAAGTTACCATATGTTTGTGCAATATGTCTGCAGCATAGCTTATTCTGGACACAGGGATAGATTAGGTGCTTTGAAACATACAGAATGTGTATAATGTATTGGGAGGCCTCCCCCCTCCTAGTTACCATCCAGGAAACGGGATATGCTTTTGCACCAGCATGTTACTGCTGCCATGCAAAGTTTATGGATTTCCTGAGTCTGAAATCTGATGAGATGCCATATCCCTGCCTTAGGTCCTGTTCACAGAGATTGTGTCAGAGAAAGCACAAAACTGCTCACTTGCATTATTTTTGCTTGTGTGGGTCAAGGACTAAAAAGAAAAGGTGTGGTAGAAAACAGTATTGCTAATTGGACGAACTGTTAAAATATAGAGAACATTTAGGAAGAGAAATAAAACCAAGCTAGAGAATGGAGGGGTGTGCTGCAAATATCTGTTCCCAAGCACCCTTTCGTGACAGTCACCTAGAAGACCCCATCCCTTCCCCTTTAAGTAGCCTGGCTACTATACTGACTTTTTTTTTTTTTTTTTTTAAAGTAAAAGTGGATGCTTTGATGCGCAGTTCCTTGATGTAAAATTTTAAAAAACAAACCTAATGTCGTTCTGCACCTTCAGTTAGCGTTAGAGAGTCTCATATCCAGGACTTTAGCACATAAGCCAAACCGAGCAACACCTATGCTTGGAGGCACATAATCATTGCATTCTTTCTGAGTTCAATGCATGAACTATATTTTCATATGACATGGACTTGATGTATGCCCAATATTTTTATAACACTGCCACGAGGGTAATGTATTATCATTAGTTAATTTCTATATTTTGTTTCAACGTGTTCTAAATTGAAATTTAGTGACTGCTTCCGAGACGTTTGATGCAGAGGCTCAATGTGGCAACTCATTGGCTTGCACAAAAGGCATACTATGCCATTTCAATCATGACACTACCATATTGGAATCCTTTAATGGCCCATATAGCCTTGAGTGTTTACTTTCGTGATTTACTTTCAGCAACACGTTTATCACATACGTGTTGCTGAAAGTAATTCACGAAAATAAAAGTATTACAGTAAAATCATAATTTCATTAATTATTCTTTGTCATGTATTATTGTTTGGGTTTGTTTTTATCCCCCCCCCTTACATTATCTTACATTATCTTACATATGTTATCTTGGTATTGTTTCTTAGTGTTCAAAGAGAGAGATTTGTATACTTTTTATAAAGAAATTGGATTTTTTAAAATTTTCTTTGGTTGGATTGTAAAATGTTAGACCACTAGGTGTCACTGTTTGAGAATAAATTGACTTGATTTAGGCCATATTTATTTACCGAAGCAAATTTAAATATATATTATATAGTGCTTCTTATGTCCATTGCTTGCAATGTTGTAGAAAGCGATCATACTGTTTAAATTTGCTGTCTATGTCCAACTCCAATTAAGCTGAAGAACTCAAGAGGTTCATTTTAGGAGAGAAACAAATAATAAATATATACACGAATTCCTAAATTTCAACACTGAAAAGCTTGTGTGTATGTGTTTATATAGTTGGTGGGGCAAGTTTTAGTTTGCAAATACTGCTGTTCTCTCATCTTGCAAGTTTGACTTCCTATCATGAAGAGTTTACTTTATCAAAAAGGTACAAAAGAGCTTGCAGTTAATTTTATAACATAGACCTGTTGAAAATAACTTTTTACAAGTTTGGTTGTCTTGCGTGTGGTTTTAACAGGAGTTAGGAAAAATTACTTTTCAGACCTGGCCTCAACAAAGTAATGAGTGGGAAGATAAAAGTAGCAATTAGACACTCAATTACCCTAATTTTTCTGACCATCTATCTAAAACACCCTAACCAGAGTTCTGGAATCCTAAATCTTCAAAGTGGATTACTGTGTTTTGTTTTTGGAAGTATGCTCTTATTTAGTTGTTGCAGAGCTATTCACCTATGTGCGTAAATAAGATCTCTATTATGTGCTACCACTGAATCGTTACTAAAATAAGGTCTCTGAGGCTAAATATCCTTATAATAGGCCTCCTGTAGCTTTGTGTTGAGCATCTAAGCGGTTTAAGTGTAGCTTGGGGAGCACTCTGGATCTTAACGTTTGTTTTTCTATCCCCATTTTCTCCCTTTCCCCTATTTTATTTTTTTGTACTCTTTCTTCTCATAACCTCTCCTTTTCAGTCTAAGCTTGATTCTCTAGCTCTTCAGTATATTATATCACTGTTCCCTTGTTTGTATCCCTGGACTCTTATACTTTGCCTATTGCTAAACATAAATATAATCTTTAATTTGAATATATTTCAATGTGTTTATACAGTTAAATTACTAATGCCTTATTATTTTATTATTTATAAAGTGTTGTACAATTGACTTATGTACCCTGTTTTTTGTTATTTGCTAATAAATTGAGGAGATCCACTTTGAATGTTTGCAGCTCAGGTAGATAGCTCAGTGGGCTTATGCATCATCAGTAGAATCTGTTAAACCCTTGGGGTCACAGGTTCAAATCCCAGCATGGTTGACTCTGCCCTTCATCCTTCTGAGGTAGATAAAATGAGTACCATTAAATTGGGTAATAGTAACAACCCCTGGATGTTGGGCAAAAGTAACATACCCAGGACGTACTTGAAAACCCCTAATAATCTGAATGCACCTTTCCTGGTCCGTTGTTGTTATTTCTTATATACACTGTAGTGTAGACAATATCTGCATGCTGTATGGGGACAACAAATGGAAAGCTATAACAAATCATTAATTATGTGACTTCTGAAGGTAATTTGACATACAGGAGCAAGTATAGTAGACTTTAACATTCCAGCCTTGAAGCTAGCAATCCTCAGAGAAGGGCACATGTAAAACATAATTAGAGATAAGAGTGTAAAAGACAAACCATAGGTCAAGAAAAGAGAACTTTTTGTGGAGACAGATATCCTGAAAATGTGAGGGTTGCTAATGGAATGAATTGTGTTTTTGGTTTTGTTTTTTCCTCAAATAGTTACGTCTTCAGGCACCATGTAAAGGATGATATGGAAATGAGAATGTTTGTGCTCTTGCTCGTTAATTTCATAGAAATGCCATAGCTCAGGAAAATGATTTGTATACGTGGGAAGAGTTGGCGAACCTTGGGTCAGGACAAATGTGGAGGGTCTAAACAGCAATGGATTATTAATTATACCATTTTAGGGGAACAAAGTTGTTAAAGGACCACTATAGGCACCCAGACCACTTCAGCTTAATGAAGTGGTCTGGGTGCCAGGTCCAGCTAGGGTTAACCCTTTTTTTTTTCTATAAACATAGCAGTTTATAACTTCTATGCTTACATTAGGGTTAATCCACCCTCTAGTGGCTGTGTCATTGACAGCTGCTAGAGGCGCTTCCGTGCTTCTCACTGTGATTTTTCACAGTGAGAAGACGCCAGCGTCCATAGGAGAGCATTGTGAATGCTTTCCTATGTGACTGGCTGAATGCGCTCGCTGCTCGTGCCGAGGAGGAGGCGGAGAGCTCCCCGCCCGGCGCTGGAGAAAGAGGTAAGTTTAATCCCTTCCTCCCCCTAGAGCCCGGTGGGAGGGGGGCCCTAAAACGAGTGTGTTTTCCTGGCACTATAGTGGTCCTTTAAGGGGTTGTAAATGAGGAAATAACATGTACACAATCTTCAATGAAGATGTATTGTTTTAATATGTAAATTTAAAAAAAGAAACTTGTTGGGGGGGACAGACCTCCAGATTGCCTAGAGACATAGCATGGCAATTTTAGCTTGAATATTGTAATGTTCTCTTTTTTTAATTAATTGCAGTTGCCTGTATGGTGACTAACCCCTACTTGTTTTGTCGCTAAGAAAACAAAAACAAACAAAAGATGCCTTTATACACAAATGTACCAAGATTAATGTTTCTTGTTTACAGTTGCAACATGAATAATTTTTTTTTTTTTTTTTAAATAACCAACCATTGGATCTGTGGAAAGCCTTAAATCTATTATGTCTCCAACTTATCTAGATTGTTTTGGTAAAGTTTTACAAGGTGCATGGTATTAAAAATTAGGCAAAAGCTTACACAGATTCTTTCTTGGTGCAGTTGAGATTTTGTGAGAGATACACTTTTTTCAAATTTTTTCTTTGTTTTGTTTTATGTGTTCATTCTATTCTCCTAATTGCAGTAAACGTTTACGATATAATCACAAACAAATGATTAGAATTTTTTCCTTTTTCATCTTGTCCACACAGTTGTATTCAGTATGTGTTGTCAGTTACTACTCTTTTTTTTTTTTTTTTTTCTTCTTATAAAACATGCATGCTCCCATACAGTGCAATATATTACATCCTAGTATGTATGAAGGTCTTCATTTTATTAATCTAAATAAAAAATGACATGCGTTTCCTAATTTCACAGCAGTTTACTTGCTACTTACAGATCCAATAAGCTGGCAGAACTTTCATATGTTTTAACATTGGAAGACTATGGACTTGTAAAAGTACGAGAAGTTTTGGTGTCTGAATATTCACAGGTAGGATTTCATAACCAACTTTTTTTTTTTTCTTTTTTTTTTTTAACACTGTTGTACTGTTTTATCAACTCATTTTTGTGTTTGACATAACTCAAACATTGCTCATAAATGTATTTCTATCTCTGAGAGGTCATCAGAGCTTAAAATATGTCTGCCAAGTATGCCTTACTTGCTACTTGAATTCACATCATTTTTGAGATCCGTTCTAGAACCTACCTTTTTATAGCCTGCTATTCTTTTGTATGTATGTTGGGTTATTTTCTAGCTGGATGCTTATAACTTCTGTGAGTGGTATTGTAGTGTATGAGGTCTATGTATGATAGAATTTTGAATGAAGTATGAGAGGATTCTAAGGCTTTCATAGTCTTAAAGAGACACTTTAGGTTAATGCTGTTTAGAAGTTGGACCACTTGGTTTATAGAGCCCTAGTCACACCTACCTGCATGTGACTAAACACTTCCTGTAAAGAGAGAGATCTAATGTTTAAACTTCATTTTATTGCACATTCAATTTTATTTCGAATTGTTATTCTCCTGCTATGTTAATTGCCTACATCAGTGATGGCTAACCTTGACACTATAAATTGTTTCTGGGCTACATTTCCCATGGTGCTCATCTAGCTCTTAGAGTCCTGAATGGCAGAGATTTGAGAAGTGAGATCTATACATTAAACTGCTCCATTAAGCTAATGTTGTTTTGATAGCTATAGTGTTCTTTTAATCTCTAAGGAGCAGAAATGCTGGCAGTTTAGGGGTTTCCAAAAATGTGGTTTAATTATATTGTTGGTGTCTCCAGTGCAAAAGCATTTCCAGAAAACAAAGTTTTAATCCCATGAGCTTGCAGTTTGATAATTCAGAGACCTTTATGTGATGTGGAAAAAATGTCAGATTTAATACTTTGGTCAGACTGTATTAAATCTACTAAAATCAAAGTTCATTTAGAGGGAAACTATTCATGTTTATATAATCAGCCTATTTTATAACTTAATACATCAACAAATTAATGCAAAATAAATAATTTAAAAAAAAAAAAACCAAAAAGGTACGAACTTTGTTTTCCTTTTTATTTATTTTTTGTTATGGTTATATCAAACACACAGGATTGTAGATACTAACTTTTTAAAGTTTGTACTGGTGTACTGTTTAGTAGATAGACCCATCTCACTCCATGAAGCAACTCTTGTCCTATAAACCACTGCACAGCAAGTGTTTATGGGACAAGTATTTTATCCCCAAGAGCAGTTCCACTTATAACATTGGATGAGTGGAACTGCTCTGGCTGTTATCAATTTACTCATAGCCAGGTTCACTATTTAGTGAACTGAGCTATATGCAGCTCTCGGTAGAGGAGAGAGAGTTAAGCCACATGCAAAACTTTAAAATTCATGTAGCAGACTCAGGATCAAAGTTTGTGGATGGCTTACTGTCAAAAATGTGAAATCTATCTAATCTTATAGTGTTTCAAGATGAAACTCTGCACAGACCCTGTCCTTGCATTGTGGCTACTTCAACAAGCTGAAGTGATTATGGTGTTTAAAGTATATATGAAAATAAACTATACCACCTCAATCTGTAAAAAGCCAATAGGAAAATATTTCAGTTTTTTTCTGTTACACAATTGGTTGCAGTGCTATCAGATTTTTATTTTTTTATAATGCAATAAATGTTTTTTTTTTTATTCTCATTAAATGTAATACAATTGCAAAATCAAGATAAAATAATTATTTTTTATTTTTATTTTTCTATTTTATTTTATTTTTATTTTTTTAGAGTTCAGAACCTATCAAAGCTCCTTCATTGCCACAACCTCCACGCACAGTGGAACCTGTTCCTGAACCTCGGGAGACTCTTGAATACAAAGCTGCTCTAGAGTTGGAAATGTGGAAAGAAATGCAAGAGGATCTTTTTATTAACGAGGTAGCCTTTTTAATCTGTGTATCACTTACTTTTTGTAGCAGACTTTACCTATACTAAGATGCATTCACTAAAATGGGAATTTTGGAGAATAAACAAGGGGATGGGAAATATTCAACTAAAAACGTGTATTTCTATCCGGTATGGCACTTAGATTTTTCAGGCAATCATGTTCTACCAATGCCGGGAGACAAAAGCTTGATATATTTGAATTAAGACTAGTGATGATCTGCTGACATCACTTGACCTAAGCAGCTGTTTGGCATGTTATTCCAATGCAGTTCCTTGACAGTGAGTCCATAAACTAACACTGCTAGGTCTCAATTGGCAAAACTGCTAAAACAAAACTATAATTTGTGTGATCTTTGTCTGCAGGTAGCACGGTCCTCTAGGGTAAACAGGCACAGTCCTTTGGTTTGCATATAATCCAGGCAGTTGTATTTTCAAACTCCACCACAGCTACAGCAGCAAATGAAAACAAAAATGTAACAAAATCCTATAAACAAAAACCTAGCTCGGCCTGAGCAGTAACTGACATCAAGTTCCCTCTCTCTCAAGGGTTTAATCTATAACAAAACAAGAAGTGGTTTCACCAACCTAGCGTCTTTTTTTCAGCTCTCAGAACCCCAGTGTTTTTGACAGCCTGCTGCTTCCCTTTCTACACTCCCAGTGCTCCAAGCCAGCCTTGACTGCTTTCCTTTTGCACTCCCAGTGCTCCAAGCCAGCCTTGACTGCTTCCCTTTTGCACTCCCGGTGCTCAGTCTCCTTGACTTTCTTACTGGAGATAACAGCCTCACTCCTACCTGCTTCAAGGGAGGAAGCCAGCAATTCCTCTTCACCTGGCTAGCAGGGAGGGGTTTATTCCCACTGCTACAGCTGATTATCTGCAGCTGAGCAGTGGGTTGGAGACAGCTCCAAAAAACTCTGGCCTGGACATGATTTCCCCCAGTTGTGTATAAACTGAGGAGTGGAGCATTGGCCCACCCTGCTCTCCAAATGCTCCACCCCAGGGGCCCATAACGTAACGGTGGATTGTGTTGCCTACAACACATACTACACATACTCCCCCTGGGGTTAAATGTTATAGGTCTATCTGCTTTCACTTTATCACATTTGTTTAGATGATGTATGTAAAGAAATTGACAGATGCACCTTTGCCATCACCTACCCCTATCCTTGCACACATTCATTTTCAAAAGGAAAGCAGTCAAGGCTGGCTTGGAGCACTGGGAGTGCAAAAGGAAAGCAGTCAAGGCTGGCTTGGAGCACTGGGAGTGTAGAAAGGGAAGCAGCAGGCTGTCAAAAACACTGGGGTGCTGAGAGCTGAAAAAAAGACGCTAGGTTGGTGAAACCACTTCTTGTTTTGTTACTAAACGGTGGATTGTGTTGCCTACAACACATACTACACATACTCCCCCTGGGGTTAAATGTTATAGGCCTATCTGCCTTCACTTTATCACATTTGTTTAGATGATGTATGTAAAGAAATTGACAGATGCACCTTTGCCATCACCTACCCCTATCCTTGCACACATTCATTTTTTTGCTTCAGTTGTGAACATGGAACTGGGGAAAGTGTGTATCCTGTGATTTATTTTTTTTATCATCATTTAGTTTGGGTAGATATTCTGTTTGTCCATCCTATGGCTTGCGCTACACCACTGAAAACTGTTTGGTAGATTGAGTCACTTAAAACAAATACATGAGTCTAAGGAATACATATAATTGAAATGTATCTGGAACCCCAGATCTGTTATTACGGACTTCCACCATATTATTGTATCGTAGTATATTGGAGTAATACATATATTGTTGGCAGTTTTGCTCTGTACATTTGAATCATTCTGTTTAATGTGATCGTACTTTTAAAAAAAATTATAGAGGAGCATTTAGGATTTTTACCCTTCTAGTGTTCTGGCACGATTAACATTCTTAAATTATTTTTCCTGTTCTCATACCTTTTTATTTAGACAGCTCATTTTATGTGGGATACACACATCAAAACAGCAGGGCAGAGTGATATCTTCTGTTTCATCTCAGGCTTTCAGACTCTTAATATAAGATAACTGGTCAAGTAATGTCTGTGCCCAGGTAGTTTGGGATTAGTTTTAATCCTGACAGGTACTCATGGCTAAAAATATTAGGAGTGTACTTCTGATTTTATTTTATATATTTATATTTTTTTGACAGTTAAAAAATAAAGAATTGGCCCACATGCAAGCCCTGGCAGAGGAATGGAAGAGGAGAGATCGAGAAAGAGAAGCTTTAGTAAAGAAAAAGGTATGCGTGCCAAATTTATATTCGCTTTGATATTTTCTTTGCGATCTGTGACCAAATTACTTATAGTTTCTTTAGCCATTATAATGCAGTTTTTAAAGGCACATATGTGTGGCACAGAGAGCGGTAGGTACTTTTTATGAACTGGGATGACATGCAAAGTTAATACACAATCCAAAGCACAGAGAAGCATAAATTTATCACTACCCAGGCAGTGAAATGAGGAGAAATGGCTATCGGAAGTAAGAAATGTTGTGTAGTTTTGATTCCGTATTTCAGTTTCTAGTACATAAACCGTTGCACTGCATCTGGGCATTCCCATTGTACAGATATGTACCTGTAGAGTTCAAGTACTCAGAATGCAGTACAGTACCCAGGCTGAGAATGTAATATATCCAGTTTAATAGATTATTTTGGCCCAGCTTGCAGAATTTTGTGTTGCCTCTGAGATCTGTGCAAAATGGCCAAGTTCCTATTTACCTTATTTTGGAGAAACTGGCGATTCCACAAGATCAGCAATTACCTTTTGTATTTCCTTCTTCTGTTGCATTAGTTTAATGTAGTTAATCCCTTATCATTGCTATTACACCTAAATGTATAAATGAAGATATCAACAGAAGGATAAAGAACAAGTTTAAAAAAACAAAAACAGGTTTAATGATGATAATAACAAAATAAAATAAAATGTCCAAAATATAGTCCCAGTAACAACTTGCCAGAAGATATATCCGAGAAGTACACAACATCGATTAAAATAAGTCTTATATAGTCCTCCTCACGTTTTTAGAGCTTTAAAACCGCTCTATTCTGAATAGCATACAGTGGTATAATCCCTACTTATAGGGCACATGAGGAGATGTTGATAGGCAGAGGTTTCCTCAATACGAAGATCAATAAAAGGTTAAAAGACACAACTATAGTGTTTACAGTATAATAAAATTCCAGGAGTATAAAATAATGTAAGGTTTCTCACATTTGATTGAGCAGGCAGACTACTTAATGTACAGTCGTGAGTGGTATAATCCCTACCTAGGATTCTTTAATGGAGTAGTCCTCTCTGGAACAGTAAAATCGGGTACTGGGTAGAAAATATAAAATAGTAACAAAATACAGTAAAATGGCACACTAATAATTGAAAGTAGTCAAAATACCTTTATTAATAACAATGTAAAATATCCACAACGCGTTTCACTGTCAAGGCTTTATCAAGTGGAGATTACAACTAGCCTGCTACTGTGACAAGTTACCACTTTTGGCAGTTTTTTACCTAACTTTCTTGTTTGCAAAATTAGACTGTATAAATTATTATAGGTTATTCACTAAAGTCCAATTGGCAAGTAGCCAGCAGACATATAGTTAAATAACAGCAGTTAGTTTTTGCTAGCCAGCCACCACATGGTTGGACATTCGATCCTCTTCCATAATAATATTTTGATTAGGCTGCCCATGCACTGCCAATGGCTGTAGGCCAGGGGGAAAACTGTCGTTCCTCCCACATATTATAGCAGGGCGGTGGACAGGGATCTGGCTTGTTGACCTCCGTAGGGTTATTTATTGATTTGTTTTAACGTGGTGGCTTACTAGCATGTTTTGACCTGCTGCCCCATAATTAATCCTCACACTACAGAGGGTATTTTAACAATTTGCTTGCTGCTAGTGAATAATACTTTGTGAATGTGCACCCTGCCTGACGAGTTTGGCCCTGAATTTTAGTTAAACTGGTGTTTTGTAAATATTCTGAATCCTCTACTTTGAATAGGATTTGGATGCAAAAGCACTGATTTTAATTTGGACACCATATTCATCTAGGCGATTGCTGTAGATTAGCTCGTACAGTCTGATATATGACCATATTTAGTAAATATATTTTCCATTGCCATCATAGTTCTGTCCTTTTCACCTGATTTTTGTCCATCCAGACAAAATCTGGTGTTTAGTGAATAATGCTGTTTGTTTATAGCACTAATAAATATATGTATATATCAAATCTTTCTATAGATAGATAGATGTGTAGATCTCTCTAACCGCTTTTTAAATGCCCTCTAGATCTCTTACCATAAATTCCCTTTCATTATCTTTTGATTGTAAGCTCACAAGCTACAGGCTTGCGTTGTATGCAAAATTTTTCAAGCTCATGGACAGTGTTTTTTGTTCCTTTTTATATGGATATGTCTGGTTATTTTTGCTTTCCTCTACAGTGCTATAGATTATAGAATCTGCTGTTGATTTTTAAATGTGATGTAATGATAATATAGGTAGTGAAGTAAAATGTATCCATCTTAGGTGGTTGAATACACAGTTCTCGAAGAACAGTTACAGAAAGCCTTGGCAGACTTGGAGCAACGAGAAAGGCAACTTGCTAGTAATGAAATGGAGGTAAGATCATTCATTTTTGTAGCTCTGTCTCAACAAGTCAATATAATTGCAAAATAGATATTCCTTACATTGAAACAATCTAAAGGAACGAAAGGTTGTTCTATATTTATTGCATTCTCATTTGAAATCATAGCTCAATCATTAAATTATAACAAGTCGTGAGCAGAATGCAAAAGGATATTCGAAACACAGAAATACCCTCTGGTATAGCGATACTGTATAAAAATCAAAGCAGTATCTCACAGAATCATAGCATGTGTCCAGTAGAACAAGGAAAAATAAATCTGAGTATTTTGCGCTGTTTTACACAACGTTTTATTACAAATTATCTAGTAGAAAATTTGTAATTTTTAAAGTTTAGACGTTTGTCCCATTACTTATGAGCTGGTCTAGTGTACTTCTGGCATAACCACTTCAGCAGGCTTGTAACCCTTTAAGGATCACAATGAGCCTTGCGCATCATGCAGGTATGAATGCAAGCAATTCCATTTTGCACCTTAGGACAATGGCAGAGGCAATATTGTGTACTGTGAGATAATGACAGTCACTGTTGCCTTGTGTGGACTGCCCTGCATTTCTGGGAATTTGATCACCCTAAAAGCAAGTCACAGGGGAGGTAGTAGTCAGCAGACACAGCAAAGATAGCTGATCTAGAATGTGTGGGGAAGAATTCAGTGAGCAGAATCACTTTGGTACTGAAGTGGTGCACACTATATATCACTTCCCTTCCCCCACCCCAGACATAAAGCAGAAAATAACGCTGGTGCCTTAAACATTTCCTTATCTAAGATTCATTAATTTTTTCTAGACATGTTGACATGCTGGATCTGAACGAGGGAAGTTTTATTAAGATTGCTGAATGTTACAATACATGCTTTTTTTTTATATACACTTATTAAAGGCTGTATTAAACTTGATTTTATGTAATCTAATATGTGTGTGTATATACATATATATTAAGAATGTAAGTTATAGTGAACAACAGCATAGGGTTATTTACTACGGTAGGAGTTCTAAGTGGATTCAAAGAATTACAAAATTTGTCAGAGTAGCCAAACTAAAAGTATAATTAACTTCCAACATTTTTCACGTTTATTTTTTTTAGTAAATATTTTATTTACCAGAAAATTAATGTTAAAGAGGATATATATATATTTTTTTTTTTTACTGATCAGCCATCATGTGTACAGTGTTGGGAATTGCAAGAGTTTAAATAACGTTGTCTACTACATTGAGTGGTGTTTTTTTTGGTTTGTTTGTTCTTTCGTTCTACAGACCACTGTATTGGTGCCTTAATATATTTTGAAATCAATCTAACTGCATTTTATTGTGCTTCCTGTTTTCATGTGCATAAACGTATTCTATGGTTCCAGGTGAAGAAATTAAGGGCAGATCTTCAATTAGATGGTGAACGTGGTGTTCAAGACCGGCAAGACTCCATTCGGCGAGTGCGAGAAGATTGCATGCATCAAATAGAGTTGGAAAGGTCAAAAGCTAGACAGTTAGAAGAGGACAAGCTTCGCTTGCAGCAGCAGGTTATTGAAGCCACACCTTAAGTAGTCTTTTATTTTGCTCTTCAGTGGTAAAAATTTGAGTGGAACAAATTAATAGAGAGAAAATATTTCTGTATCTTTTTAATTAAAATTTTAATTTAACAAGCGTTCTACCATTTCATTGAGATAAGCACTTATGGTTCCTTTAATAATATTGCTTGATTGCGGTAACACATGATAATTTATGAACATTTATCGTGATGGATGCATTTGTTGCTGAATTTTATTAAAGCTTATTTATGATTTTTCTAAATCCTATTCTTGTAGATAGGGACAAGTTAACTGCTCAGTTGTTATAGCTGTGTCTCTTTCTTTCCCACAATCCTGTTTTAGCTTCAAGAAGCAGAACACAAATTTAAATTGCTCGACAAAGAATTTCAGCATTACAAAGAGCAACAAAGCAGTAAACCAGAGATCCGATTACAGTCTGAAATTAACCTCCTCACGTTAGAAAAGGTATGATTTGAAAAGTAGCGATTTGATGTTTTCCACAATCGTTATTTATTTATTTATTTATTTGCTTGCTTTAACAAAAACAGACTGTATAGGTGCTCGATATCAAACAAAAAATGGCAGAAAATCACCATTTTCCTTCACCATTGTGAAAGGTATAGCAAAATAAAATATGGGAGGTGATCAGCGCAAAAGATACATACGGTACAAAGGCAGTATCAAGAATATAAATCTATGAATACAAAGCAAAAGACAAATTTATTGTGCAGTACAATTGGTAGGCTAAGGGGGATATGTATAGGTCACGTGCACACTCACTTTTTAGAGCTGTACCAGCTCTGTTTGGAAGGCCTGGATGGAATATTCCTGGTCTGTGGATATATGTAGAAGGTCTTCCAAGCTTGATTCCAAAGTTATGGTGACATGATATGGGAAAAAAACACAGGAAAAATTCTAATGGTATGGTACATACACGGAAATTATATAAAATAACTTACGTGACACGGAGCAATGTCCTGCTCTGGTATTAAGAGCGTGAGGTGGAATAATCCCCATCCAAGGATATATACAAGAACCGGATAAGTGGTAGAAGCTGTATATATACTCCACAGGTAAGTATATAAATAAGTACTTTTATTTATTTATATATATATATTTATATTACTTTATTGTGTAACAAAAGCTTAATGCAACAGCAAATAGAGCTTAAAAGCCTGAAAGCTGCTTCTCCGTGACTACTTTTTAGGGAAAGATTTTTCTAAATTAACGCAATTCACACCCACTGCCGCAAAGTTCCGCCAACTATGTCCACACTATGGGAGATTGGGGTATATCTTTGCTAGTCATTCGGGGTCCATGTACCATTTATATTGCAGTTTACTCATTTGATCCAAATGGGAGACAGAGGCAGTTTTACCATTGTGTGCTGTATAGGCCTTTTGCCACTGCTTAGTGGTGCACGTGGAGTTTAGGTTTGAGTGCAATGGGGGGAGAGGGGATGGGAGAGTTGTTGTGAATAGGCAGGCCCTCTCTCTGTATCATAGTTGGTGACGTATGTGTAGAGGCAGCTTGGTTACCCAGGAGGGATTTGAGTTGTAGGTATGAGAAGTTCCTGTGGGGTAGGTTGAATTGGGTCTGGAGGTCTGGGAATTGCAACAATCCGCCGTTGGTGTAAAGGTGGTGGATATTAATGCAATTTTTGAGTGGCCACGCCCTATGGTTGAATGAAGTGTTGGTCATGTGTATCACTGAAAAATGGTTAAGGTAGTGCAAAAAATACAGTCTAATCACATGTTTATAATAAACATATAAACATTTTATTGAATCTTATATGAAGTAAAACAATCTTTTAAAATACAATGACAAAAAAACCTTGTACAATAATTATTGCTATACTGAGTGTGCACACTACTAAGTAATATAGGAAATAAAAGACTGTGTCAGTTAATGAAATATAAGGTAAAATAGAAATATACCATAAAAAATAGAATAAAAAATATGGAAAAAATAAATAAAAAATGAGTGGAATGGCAGAAAAAAGTACGGGGGGGGGGGGTCCAACATTGTATAGTTTACTGACAACTTACTGTTGGGGATGCGTTTGTGCTGACATTCTGATTACATACATAGAGAGTAAGGTCTGCAGTATTGAAGCTGTTACTGCGACAAACTACCCAAATAGTAAGTGCTGCTGGCTGACTGCCGTTGTGGATCTGTACAGGGTAGTGGAGATGAAATTCTTTTCCACCTTTGGCTGTCTTGCTACGTGGGGGGGGGGTCTCCTCTTTTATTTGTAGCTGCCGGAGCTGAGTGTGCTCTGCCGATAGAATATGTTGCGGCCGCTCACATAGAAAGTGAAAGTAATTGCGTCCGCTCGTAATGAATAAATGCGGTCGCTCTTGATGAATCTGTGTGAGGTCTGGTCTGGTCCCAATATTCTCGGTCAATCCTACATGTTTCGTGGGCCTGCACTCGCTTCTTCAGGGATGATAATGGAGACCTTTTAATGCTGCTCCTTTAGAAGAAAGTATCCCTACACTTTCTAGTACAAGACAAAGTAACCTTTTAATGCTGCTCCTTTAGAAGAAAGTATCCCTACACTTTCTAGTACAAGACAAAGTATATTGGTCATGTGTATATCGGGGTGGCTAGTGACCAAGGCTCAGCTGATCATAGGGGAGCTCTAGTGGCATCCATGTTCGTAGTAGTAGGTCTTTGGTAGGTAGTTGTTCTGGAGTAGGGGGCCTTAGGTGTGTGGGTATCCAGTATAAGTATCTCAGTCCTTCCCTTCGTGTCCATTGTGATTCTATCGCACCCACTGTGGAGGATTGGTATCCGCATGTGATGTTATTACTGAGGACAGTAAGGTTACTTTGTAGAAAAGATTTATATTGGGTAGTTCCAACCCACCTTTTTCCAATGGTATGTTTAACCGTGTGGTAGCCACCCGTATCCTGCGATTGGACCAGATAAATCGCACAGTTGTTCTTTGGATGGATTGTAGGTACTTTTAGGTAGATGAATCTGCAAGGTGCAAAAAAGGTACTGTAATTTAGGTACCAGTGACATCTGTACTGCAGCTACCCAGGATAAGTATTTTCCTTCTCAGGACTGGAGTGTGTTTGTGATGTCTTTTTGCATGATATAATCCTTTCTCCAGTCAAGGCTGAAAGTAGCTTGGAGGGAATGCATGGTCTCTCGTGGGAAGTCAATCCCCATGGCCTGTGTAGTGGATACATTTAATTTTGTAGTAAAAGTTCTGGCCATATATGGTGAGTAGTGATGTCCCGAACGGTTCGCCGCGGACTCCAGTCAGCTGACACATTCCAGCCAATCAGCAGCAGACCCTCCCATCTCCTGGACAGCATCCATTTTGAAGCTGCATTCTTAGTGAGCTGTCCAGGAGGTGGGAGGGAGGGTCTGCTGCTGATTGGCTGGAATGTGTCAGCTGACTGGAGTCCGCGGCGAACCGTTCAGTGAACAGTTCGGGACATCACTAATGGTGAGTTCTTTTAGGAGGTTGGGCAGGGATATGTGGTTGGTTCAGTGTCAGTAGGACATCGTCCGAAAACAGGATCGATTTGTATTCGCATTCCCCAATTTGAAAAGGACTTAATATTAACACAATATTAAAACACACGCACGCAATATTACACCACAAACCTTACACACTAAATATGGCTGAAGCCCCAGGATCCATGCCATTCTCACAGCATTAAAGATAGTCTGTGGAGGACTGCATGGAATGTCCAAATATCCTTAAGAGGTTAAAAATAAGTATTGCACACTTGAAGTATGTTAGGCAAATATTTTATTTATTAACAAAGTGCAAATCAAATACATGCCTTTAATGTAGATTTCTATGTAAATATTTTTTTCTATAATTTATTTTCTCTTCAAGCAAAACCGTATAGGCAGGCTTTTAATAATTAATGTAAACATAGTCATAGTCTTTTGTGCCAGTGTTAAATCATATTACCGTTTTTTAGAGACTCCAATTAACTATTTGCGCATTTTAACGTATTGGAGGTTGCTTCAGAGACTTTTTATTGTTGCGAATATGGTTAGTGTTTTCACTTTATTGTGCATTCAGATCATACATAGATAAATGTTCATTATCTATTGTATTTTGGATTTACAATTTTGATTAGTAAGATGTTTGTATTTGATCATGAAAAGCTAAAATGAAACAAATTGCTCTTAAATGGAGTTCAGTTATTTCATTTGCACAGCTTTTACATAATTTCTTCTGTCCCAACAACATACTCCACTTGGAATGAATCATGGAATCACAGGAAAGCTTGGGGTTTAAGACAGATTAATTATTAAGAGGCTCCACTTCAGAAAAGGAGATGAAGTATGTTTTAACACTGGAAGTGCCAGCAAGATGTACTACTCATTCCTTTAATACTCTGGGGGGTTAGCAGTCATAACTATGTTCAGCAGCTCATTAGTCCTCTACAATCAGTCTCTAAATTGTCTGGTTCCCACAATAATTTGCATGTTCGGTTTTCTTACTTAAAACAAACCGCGTTGATGACGACAATAATAACGTAAAAGAACATTTTGTGCAGTTTATAGCTACTGTATTTCACGAAAGCTTACATTACTAAGCTCAACAAGAAAATCATGTTAACCCAATTAACTTAATTTCTATCTTGTCACCCTGGCATTTATATTTTAAATAGACTTCTCATCTGCAAAATGTGAAGATGACTAGACAACTTTAGATATTTTTAAATTCCCAATCAAATAACGGTGCTTTTCAAACTTGTCAGCAGATGTATTCTATTACGTGTTATGCTGGCCTTACATTTATTACCTGCAAACAAGATTCCTGAATGTCCACAATAAGTGTTGCGACCCTGTAAGGGTTTCTGAGAGCTACAGTTCTACTGTTTGGTTTCTTTCAGCTCCCCAGTTATAAATCGCAAAGCTATTGAAAATTAAGTGATGTCATGATTGGCTAAATCCATCTTGGTCTTGCCAGTGGTCAATGCAGAGGTCTGGGGATTTAGAAATTCAGAAACCTCAAATGTAGCTTTTTAAATTTTTTATTAAGATTGAAAAAGCTTTATTATTCTGCACAGCATGCGCTGTTTTAAAAGTGTTGTCATCAAATATAATCTTTAACTAACTAATCTGCTTCTACATAGTTCCCTGTGTCTGAATCCTTTCATTTTTTTTGTTGGAACATACTCCTGTCCTTCGTGATCTCTAAAATTACCTGCCATGGTCTTAGTTATATCCAGACCGAGCCACACCCTTCTACTACTGGGAGACACTCCATTGAAATACATACAAGGGAGTCAGTTCAGGAAGATGCCTGATCTTTATTAAAAAGAACAATAGTTTTATAATACGCAATAAAGGGGAGTTATGGGGGGTGTCACTAATTACCAATCCAATATTGACCACTATTAACTAAACAGAATGGACAGCTTGTGCATACATTATGGTATGGGCATGTAAGAAATAATTCTCAGGGGCATTAATAGGTGGGGACTTCTTAGAATAGGAGGATATATAGGGGTAGTGTCTTAGAATAGGCGAGAACAAAGATGGTCCTTTGCCAAGAATATGTATGTAACGTTCTGGCATGGTCAGGTGTTAAACTACAAATGGGATGTCGTTGAAGTGTATAAGGCTCTTGGTGTTATGATTCAGCTGAACAGAAATTAACCCTTTCATTTTATAAAATATAGAAGGAAAAGTATTGATTAGTTTATGTATAGCATTTAAGTTGACAAAACTTCACAAGGGGTGGGGCTTAACGCAATGTTCTGTTTCTGTTGCCAATCAAATTTACCCACAACCCTCAGTAAAATCGATCCCACAGAAGGACAAACGGGGGGAGCAAATTAAGGAAAGGAAAAACAAAAGAAATGTCAGGACTATTTTACTTCTTGGCTATGGCGTTTAACAAATCTTAAAATTATCCATCCAATCTAGCTGAAGAGCTTTTTTTTTTAAATGGACTGAGTGATTAGGAGACATATTACAGACTTGTCTTCCACATGGATACTGGCAGCAGTGTGCTGTTCGCACAAGGAAATTAAAAAATGTCTGCAATGTGCAAGTGGAGCAGTACATGTGACAGTCTGTTCAGAATATGTTTGAACTAATACATATGTATCCGCACACCCAATGGTTTCTTAAAGGACCACTATAGGCACCCAGACCACTTCAGCTCAATGAAGTGGTCTGGGTGCAAGGTCCATTTAGGGTTAACCCTGCAGCTGTAAACATAGCAGTTTCAGAGAAACTGCTATGTTTACATTCGGGTTAATCCAGCCTCTAGTGTATGTCTCATCCATGCTTCTCACTGTGAAAATCACAGTGCAAAGACGCTGGACGTCCATAGGAAAGCATTGAAAAATGCTTTACTATGGATTGATTACGCGCGTGGCTTTTGCCGCGCATGTGCATTCGACAGATGATGTCGGAAGAGAGAAGAGTCTCTAGCGCTGAGGGTAAGTGTTTAACCCCTCTTGAGCTGGGTGGGGGGGACCAAAAGACCATATAGTGCCAGGAAAATGAGTTTGTTTTCCTGGCACTATAGTGGTCCTTTAAGTCTCAAGTCTTGAAAAAGGCACAGGATAGTGCTGAAATGTTGTCTTTTTCTCTGAAGTCTAAATAAAAGACTGCCTGTTAATAAGAAATCATTGGGTGTGCCGAGACAAATGTATTTGTTCCCGTTGGATTGATTGGGAGTTGGCTTTTCTAGTTTGGAGCACCCTGGTGGGTGTGTTCTAGTAATGGTGTATGCATTACCCTTTTTCACTTTGTTCATAATATGTTCATAAGAGCTTTTCCAACTGAAGCAAACAAATTATAGTTGGCAATCACTTTAGTATTCACCTGGTGCTAATTGTTAAAACCACCTCCACGATTGATGTATTGAATAAATAAAATGTAGAAAATGTATGTATTGAAAATATTTAGGGTATTCTTTTCCCACTTTAACAGCAACGCTTTGGCTCCACTCAGCTTTGTAGGCTTGAGAGTAGTACACATTACTGTGAACGGTTTGTGAATAAAGTAACCTGAATTTCACATTAGTATCTGGTCCTTTTGTAATCAAGACTCCTCCTCCCAACAAGACCTGATCAGCCTCCACTGTGTGTGCTTTAAGCATATTAAGAGAGAAATTTAGATTAACACATGTCCAGATGCATTTCTTTTCATTCTGAATAAAATTATTCTATCAGTAAGTGCTTAATCTGGAAACTATGTACAATTCTAAACCTTTATATTGATACTAGCTTGCTGATACAGGTATGTACTTTAGAAATATACTGAGATCATTTTTTCCTTTTCATAACCTCACAGTACAAGTCTGTGCGAAGTGTTGAACATGAAGGTTGGTCTTGTTCGAACAGTGCAACAGAAAATGTAGCTTGAAAACAAGACATTTCACCATTTTTAAGGCTATGTTTATATAAGTATTGCTCACTAAATTAATAAGTCCATTATGGTATCTAAAATGTAATTCAAACACTAATAATCTTTTTATAAATTTGGCGTCTTAAAAACAAATGATGACCAGTGACTTGGGATCATTTTAGTTAGCTATGCAGTGAGTGAACTCTTCTACAAATGAATCAAGTTGGTGCAAGTTAATTGTTATGTCACTATTCACTGCAGTCTTCTTCAGTTACGTTTTATAGTAAAAGGGTGTTTTCTTTTAATAATTGTATTTTGATTAAGAAATGAAATATACAATTTGACTACAGTGGTACCATAATATTCTTAGAACTGTTACAATACTGTATCTTTGATGAAATACAATAGATGAACGAAAATAATTAGAACAGACTTTTATTACCATATTAAATGATAAATGAAAAGTGATCCTACCATTCAGAGGTCACAGTTCAGAGTTTGGCTATCTGTGTGTTAGTTTATTGACAATAGATGTCTAATTATCCATTGCACAGATAAAAATCACAATAGAAATTAAAGGTAAGTATAGAATAAATTATTATTGACAAAAACTAATGGAGGCCACTGTATTAATAGCTTAATCTTTGCCTTTGTGAGGTCTAGTACTATTATATCTATTTATTTAAAATGTAATAAAACTGATGTCTAAAGAGCATAATTTAAAATCATTTGGCAGTCATTATCTGTTCAGTATTGTGAGATATTCTGTTTCAGTGCACTGTTACGTGAACCTAGAGAATGGTTTATGGAGCACTGGGAATAATTTTCTGACCCGTTTGAAATGGTTGTTTATTATTCATTGGTATACTGTAATATAGCATTTATCTAGATAGAGTAACTTTATCACTTTTAATTTATCACCACCTGTAAAGAGACTTATTTTAGGTTTTAAGTTTCCTGAGGTTGCACTGAAAAAATAAATAAAACTAAAATAATGGGTTTCATTATTTTTAAATTTCTTTCCTGTGTCTACTTTAATAGTGTTTTTTTTTTTTTTTGGCCTCGCTAATATGCTCTATATTTTGCATGCTCAAATATTTGTAGCTTTTTTTTTTTTTTTTTGGTCAGATATGCTCCTTAAAGGAGAATCTTTTTTTCATATACTTTTATTTTATTTATATTAAATATTTAGCCGATGATATAATGATCAATAGGGCACACACTGAAAATGAAGGAGACATAGAATAATCTCACCTCTTCTCTGAGTGCTTTCTCTAAGCTTACTGGTAAAGGGAAAGGACATTGCATACAACGATGACCGACTGGAAGCCAAGATGAGCGAGCTCAGTTGCAGGATAAAGAGATGAGGATTTTATTACATTCCACTTTTGTCACACCTCACAAACACATATTTGTTAAATATAGAGATCAGTAAATATAGTATTAAAAATCCTGGGAAGTGATAGTAAGTTTATTTTTTTATTTTTTTTATTTTTATTTTTTTGCAGAATGCTGCACCATAAGCCTGTCTTCTTAACTATTCCCCCTAAAAATTTTTTAAAAGCCTTTAGTATCAGAATATCTATACAGTGTAGTCACCGACACTACTAGGTGATCTGAGCTGCCTGCATTAAAAGAGGACATAAAGGCATACAAATAGTAATTATATGAATACACATGTCTGTATTTGACTGCAGCTTGGTTGTTTATTAAATTAAAACACTTCATTGTATTTTAGGATATTTTATGCAAGGCAGTCTGCATTAGGTGAAGGCACCCAGACAAATGCTACAGATATGTATTTGTATTACAAGTGAGCAGAGGAAATATTGGACAAGTTATAGATGGATGTAACAGACTGTAGCATCGGATGAGTGGAAATAGTTGTTTGTTTTTCTGAACACAGCTAAGCCTGGCATTGTATGGATTTATTGCTTAAAGGAACACTATAGTCACCAAAACAACTTTAGCTTTATGAAGTAATTTGGGTGTATAGATCATGCCTCTACAGTCCCGTTGCTCAATTCACAGCCAGGGGAGAAACAATGTCAGTGACTTAAACACAGCCTGCATGCAAACAAAATGGATTCATTAGATGACTCTTTACATGAAGTGTTTGGGAAGGCTGTGTAAGTCACAGCTGCATAAACAAAGTGATTAAACTCCTAAATGGCAGGGAATTGAGCAGTGACACTGCAGGGGCATGATCTATGCACCAAACCTGCTTCATTAAGCCTAAAGTTGTTTTGGTGACTATGGTGTCCTTTTAAGTGTAGATTCGAAGAAAAAGATATTAAGAAAATAACAGCTTTGTTTAACACAAGTTAACTTTGAAATTTCTTCCCAATCTTTGCTATATTCAGTTAACCATCCTTCAGTTGTCCCATGTGGCACTTGTACTGTACAATAAAGCTACGTCATTCGATCCGCAAGCAAACTGCACACAGAAACTTCCTGGGTGTCCTCTTTCTGATTCTGGTTGCTTGGCTTACAGCAGTTCAGCTCACTCATTGCTTTCTGTGAAGTTATAGATGAGCACTGATGAGTAAGCCTTTCTTTGTGCAATTGGGTGTAGCGTGTTGTGGAGTATTCAAAAATGCTGTTTGCATATTTTTGAGGTGGCAATTAAGTTTTAGCCTGGCTAACTGGAGACTTGACCTGCTATAGGGACATAGTTATTAGACATGTATGTTAAAAAAGAGAATAAAAAAAATTAATAATAATTTAAGATCTTATGGCTTTACCGAAAAAAAAGTAAAGATTTTGAGTGTCTTAGACAACCGTTTGAGACTGAGAAAGTACATTCCTAAAACAAAGCCAGTTTGGCAAGAGTTCAACTATAACAGATCACTATAGCAAGTAAAAAAATAAGCTTTTGGATTCAGTCTTTTTTCCCCCTTATTTTTAAGTGGCATATATTTAAAATATGTCAGAATACTTTTAAAGAAAATCAGTTCCTTTTATCCATTACTAGGAGCATAGTGATCTTGAAGAGACCAGGCAAGGGATCCCATCTAAACCCCAGCAACACACGTTGGTTTATTCGCTAAGGTCTGAATTGTAGTGATTTAAAATCTAAATGGCAAAATTATCTGTGGAGAATTTTTCTTCAGGTCCATTTTTACACTTCAACGTTAATTTCTATCAAATTCAGAATTTGTCAATAAACATCTTTGTAATGGAAGCATCTCCAAAACTGTGTGGATTACTAGAATGTAGATATTCTTGCTCACAATCTCTGTATGTGATTTTCAACAATCTGTCTCCCTCTCTTTGTGTAACAAAAATAAATAAAATGTATTTCTTGTCCACCTCTGTTGCCTGGTGGTCAACAAACGTGTCTCACAATAAGGTCTAGGGGTTTTAGCCCTATAAGGTAGGAATCAAACAATTTAGATATGTTTGGATATTAAGATATAACTTTTATTGTAACAGTTAAAATTATCCAAAACTAGGGGGGATATATATATAATGCCCTCCCAATAAGCTGGAGGGTTAAAAACATGACTTATGTTTCTAGGAAAATAGTACAAGCTCAAAAAATTACCAGTTTAAAGGTTCTCCCTGGCATAGTGATAATGTACAATTCCATAAAGAAAAAAACGGGAGGGAAGGGCAAGGAAAAGGGTGGGTTTCATTCAAATGCATTATAAAGGTCTGCACATATATAGGGTTAATAAGCTAATCTGATGTGCCAGGGAAACTTGTATCTAAAGAAATAACCAAAAGTTTAGAACTGTGAAATATAAAGTATCAATCTCCCACTGTATTTCATCAGATTAGCCTTGGTAATATAGTATTCGTATGAGAGATGACAGGGAAGATGCATATGTCGGCTGTTCACTGCACTAGTCTAAAAATAAAGAAAAGATTTCCAGTCCCTATGTATTTTACAGACGGCACATGTTCCCTCCATGTCAGTAGCTCATATACTGGATATCCAATGATAACGGAGAAACTAAGAGGTAAGTATAGGTTCTCGGATGGGGGAGTAAAGTCAAACTATTTGAGGTACTGAGTCCAGGAAAAATCCACCAACCAGTAATACCGAAGGTCTGCACGTTTCAGCCGTCGCCAGGATCATAGGTTGTCATTGTGTTTTGGACTAATCCTTTTATGATAAAATAATTCTAAAAAGCCAGTTGTTTACAGTACATTAAACTGGCCTTGAATTCCTGTTGATTAGTCTCTCACATGAAGAGATCTGCAGCGAATGCATTTGCATAAATAGAATTTAATGACTTCCTATATTAGAAATGCTCTCTGGCACTCATTCTACAACAATTTCATCATGCAGTCACGCTCCTCCAATGGTGTTAAGCATGACTGAAGTTGTAATGTGTGCATTTCGGGGGTGATGGTGATCCCAACAACTCAATATTGGAGTTGCATTCATGGAACTTACATTGTGGCTGGACACAATTCCCATCAATACTTGCAAAACTGGCAAATTGTGATGAGAGTTGTATTTCTAAGGTTTAGAAGGTATATTGTATCGTTCTTGGCATATTTGTATTTTGTGAATTATTAAGCATGAAAAATGTTATTTGGTGCAGTCTGTTTTTTTTATTTTTTATTTATTTATTTATTTTTTTTTAAGGTTGTCCTAAACAAATGTTTGGTAATGTCGTCGTCTGAGGTCACCATAACACTCAAAAAAAATATATATATATATATTTATATTTTTATTTTTTATTTTTTTTTATAAATTGTGTTTTTATTATAATGCAGTAAATATTGCAGAAGCATTTTCTTTTTCTAAATGAAAACACCGGAGTTCCTAATTAACTCTTTTGTACTAATGCTGGTTATGCAATTCCGACCTCCTGATTTGTCCTGTGTACACTCCATCTCTTGATAAAATGTGGTACACTTTGATTTGAGTTATGCTGTCGTCGTGTAGTGTGCAGTGTGCAATTCTGCTTTCTCTTAATCATTTGACCACCTACCCACAGATTTTATATACACTTTTTGATGAGGGAAGTTTAATAGTATTCTAGTTTCTCTATTTTAGCAGTAATACCAAGGTGACTGTTCTTTATATAAACCTGTAAACAATTTAATTAAATATGAAATAAATATACATGGGTGTGCACATATATTTCTTTGTGCATATGTGTTTTTGAACATTTATTATTCAGTAACTTTTTTACATGCTGCGTTCTCTTGATATAACAGGTTGAACTTGAAAGAAAACTGGAGTCTGCAACAAAATCTAAATTGCATTACAAGCAACAGTGGGGAAGGGCCTTAAAAGAACTCGCAAGAATAAAGCAGGTAAACGTTTTGTTCTATTTTTATATATTTTAATTTGTGAGTTGTTGTTGTAGTGTATTGTTTTACCATTATACCCCTAGAATACCATCTTAAAAGAGATGGCTCCAATTAAGTTATGTTGTGTTACACAGATGTCCCTTTCCATAGGTAAATAATTTCATCCCATGAATAATAACCATTAGGCTATACAAATTTTTATTTTTTTTGCTCCTAGCCATACTAGATCATAAGAATCCTTAAGCACAGTTCAAACTGGATGACTGGATTGTTAATAAATGTTAATGACAAAACCCAACTGGTAGATCTTGGAAAGGAGTCTGTACACTTGTGGCGTTGCCAAAAAAATATTAAAAACAAAAAAAAAGTGTGACTAATGATTTCCATTACCAAGCTGTGCCTTAGCAAAGTTTCTTTCGAGAATTATTATAAGAGTGTAACGAGTAAACATTGTGAAAGCTGCTCTTTTTAAAGAATTCAGCTCTTTATTTGTTCATTAATAAAATAATAAATCTTCGTTTATAACATCTGTTTGACAACAGATAATGTACTTTGACTCTTCCGTCTCAATACTTTATAACTAAAGTCAGCCCGGATTTCTCAAGTATGTCATTAAAAAAAAAAAAAAAACTGAGCCGAATTGTGATTTTTAAGAAGTCTTAAACTTATTAGTCTTGTTTAAAAGCACAATTTTAAATATATATTTAATAAAATAATGTTTGCATGATACTTTGGCATTCCTGACATATTACTGGCCTTGAAGGGGTTAAAGTTCTACTTATGGATGAAAGCGTGTGGATATGTACTTGTTGCATATTGAAAATATTTTTGCCGTAATTTTTTTTTCTAACATCTGAGCTGTCCCAGTCTATCCCAGAGATTATCCACTTGCAATAATTAAATTGATTCATCATTAATTTGGCTAAATATGGGAAGTAAAGCTTTGTTTAAAAAAAAAAAAAATCAAAAAAATCTATTAGTCGGAGATCCAGGGCTCAGCTGAAAACTGCGTCTTGAAAGCATCCAGGCCCTCCTACTAACTTGTCAACTCTGGGTTATTTTCAGAAAACCTTACTTGAGTTCCTTAGCTAAGACAGCAATAGTTTCCCACAGACTTACTTGGTATGTATGAGTGGGAGAATGAGCAGTGGCCACTATTTAGCGATTGTTTAGTCTACTGAATGCATGTTTACCTCTCTTTTCAGGATTTATAGGCAGCCATAGCAAAATAAAGATTGTGCTTGCTTGATTGAAGAGCCTCTTGTCCTTTACACTTGGTGGGCTGGCATATAACTATTTCACATTTAACCTCTCCCTCTCTAAATGACTCTAAAAGCACAGTGGAAGTTAGTCTCAGAGACTCCTGTTTGATGGAAAGGGTTAGAGGCAGTGAAACGTTGATCAAAATCTTCTGTAGGGGCTGAATTAACTTAAATAACAAAAATAGTTAGATCTGCTTTATATATTCTCACTCGTTTGTTTGTGTTTTTTTTTTTTTTTTTTTAATATACACGGGAAAGATTAGTAGTATCAACGGAACTGCGTTTGTCTTTAATAGAACAAATATACATATCTATATATATTTCTTTATGAAAGCAAGGTTTACAATTCATACACTAATATTGTTTAGACAATTACATTTATCATGATGATTAAAAAAAAATGATCAAAGAAGATTCACTAATCCTCTTGTCGCAGGACATTTGTATATTGTAAGTGAGATGGAAAAGACACTAGAATTATGAGCAAGGCTTTGAAAGTTTAATAAAAACCTAATCCGTGATTTGTTTTTTGTAAGTTGTTTTATGTATGTAGTAACATTTGTAAACGTTCCAAAATGTTCTAGAAGGTGATTAGTTATATTTTGGAAATCATTAGCCCTTCTGCACTACACAAAGCTTATTAATATTGTAATTATTAGCATTTATATAGAGCCTGCATATTCTGCTGCAGTTTATATAGTGACGATACTTATAATGACTCTTTGTTAACAGATACATGAAGTGATGATGTCACTGGAGTTTTTAAAATATTATTTAAATTGGCTGTGTTAATTAAAATACAAAATAAAGACCATTTAGAAATACCAAATCAAAATGGCAAGATGTATGCCACAGAGGGCTAGCCATTTAATGGTTTAAAGCACCCTGTCCTCCCCTCAGTCTGCTCTCCCTCCCTCTCCAGGAGAATTGACATCAGGCACGGATGATTGGGGTTCGGGGTGGGGGTTGTGGGTTATTTCGGAAAGGGATATTTTAATAGAAAATTAGTGTTATGAATTGTATGAACACAGCTAAGGAATTAATTGGCCCCTTCAAAATAGCCTCTGCACAAACAGATCTATTTTCCATCTCTCAGCTTTATTTAAATAGACTTTGAGGACCCTTTTTGATAGTGCTTTCACATTGTACATGTCTGCTGGCAACACTACTGAAGGAATGCCAGTGCATTAAACAATATTTTCCTTCAGATGCCTGAGGGTCATCACATAGCCTTGGATATGAAAGTGCAGCAGAGATAAGTGTTTGTGTTGGTTTTTCTTCAGGCCTCCAAACAATCCTGATTTCAGTCCTGATTTTTAGGTTCCATCCCGACTTAGTTCCCTTGTCTCATGCATTTAGGTACACCAAGGAGCAGTCCCCAACAAGCAAAGTATGAGTGCATCATTCCGTGCACAAGCACTACTTTAAGGGCACTAGGACACTGCGGGAAGCATTGAAACAGCGCTGCCCTCAGTGGGCTTGCCTTACTTAAGTAGCAGGCAGCCTGGCGTGGGTTCACCAGCACTGGCCCACTTCCATTACCCCACTAACACCAACCTCATGTTTCTCGGTACGCCAAAGCTGGAAGGTATTGTTTTTGTTTTGATTACTGCACTGCCCTATTTTCCCTTATAAACCGTTTCATAGAGTGCACTAAAGTGAGAGAAAGGAAAACTGTCACTTCAAAAGATGACCTTTCCTCTTTTACTTTCAGACACTAACACTTAAATCACTTCAGCTTTCTAATGTGCTTTAGGGAGTAAGAGTAATCCTGGTTTGTCACTGTATAAAAGTGCCAATTTCTCTTGCAAATTTTATTTTTACAGAGTTGCTAATTTACTAGGGAGGTGGTCTTCTTGCTCACTTTATATCACGTCACAAGCCTGAAAGCAGTGCTTCTCCTAGAGAAACATTAATTTCAATGCATCTCTGCGAGAAGTATTGCAGGCACAGCAATTGCTGTGTATGTGCCATCCCATTGCTTCTCTATGAGCATTCTTATGGCCAGGAGCTCATCAGCACTGTTGATTTTCTAGCAGCAGAGTCTAGCTACAACAAAGGATCGTGACACTGCTGTACTATATGTAAGTTGACTATTGTATTTATTTTGGGGGTGTAGGGGGCACAAGAGACTAAAATATTTTCAGCATTATCAATGTTTATTTGTATTTTACGCAGAATAGACAGAGTAACCTTTCTTTCAAGCTAGTAAAATGTAGCAAAACGTATATTCCACCTCACTATGAATAAATTGTTGCTCTATTACAATAATTCCAGAATTATGAAGCCATTCAGTTATAACCTCTCTTTCACTTATCAATGTGTTGAATTATTTTATCTCCGTTTTGAATTGGTTCATGAAGAAGAGGTGATGACTATGCTATTGCTAAATACCGCTTTGTCCCTTTATTTTTATTTGGTTATATTGATTTCATTTTATTTTATCTCTATTCTGCTTGTTTTACTGAATATTAGTTGACTGCTAGATGTCTGGACTTTCAGCAGTTGGAGGGGTGAAAAAAAATTCTAATACCCGGCTAGTGTTGAAAACATGATAGTCAAAGAGCACTTGGTGTGGAGAGATTTTGATAAAAAATAGCAGCATCTTCAAATACAGAAATTACTTTATGTATCTATATTGCTGTTTTACATCACTCTTCTCATCAGGCCAGACACACACGAATTTATATAATCTTTTTCTGATTTTAAAATAGGCATATTTAATGTGGAACTGCCACTTGTAAGTTTTTTTTTTTTTGCCAAGACCCCACAAGGCAACATGTCAAGTTGAGGTGACGGAGGAGAGTGCAGTAGACAAACTTACCTTACCTTAAGCTGTCCCTCTTTCGCCACCATCATACTCTGGCTTCTTGCAAATTAATCTGGGAGGATACTTTATTTCTATGCATGATAATACAAGATGATTCTTGATCCCATCTGCTGATGGGAACTCAAAGCAAAACTTCTGGCAGTTACATGAGACAAAGTAGTCCTTGTTTTGTCTTTTGTATGTCTTCTGGTTACATTCCGCTCAGTCAAAATTAGTTTTATGAAGATTCTAATCACTAACACTTCTGATATAAATTAGACACTCTGTTGAACAAGTGTAATTTCGTAATTCATTTTAACATCTTGATGAATAAGAGCATGTTTAACACACAGAAGCAGGGCATACAGCTGATAAATTGTGGAATCTAGAAATAAGACCTTGTGAGCAACCAGTCATTATCAAATTACATGAAAGTCATCTTTTATATATTTGGTATTGAATCTTTACATAAGCAAAAAGTCTGTCTAATCGTACTTGTTTCTAGTGCATTAAACCATTTTCTTTGCCTAGATAGATAAGTTGAAGGGACACTATATAGTCACCAGAACAAATTAAGCTTAATGTAGTTGTTCTGGTGTCTATAGTCAGTCCCTGCAGGCTTTTTGTTGTAAACCCTGCCTTTTCAGAGAAAAGGAAGTTTTTACATTACTCCCTAGGGACACTTCTAGTGGTCACGCCTCAGATGGCCACTAGAGGAGCTTCCTGGGTTAGTGCTGCACACAAACATTCCCTGTAGAGATGCATTGATTCAATGCATTTCTATAAAAATATGCTGATTGGCCAGGCTGGCATTTGGCTCCGCCCACACCCCACCTCCTTGATAAACTCAGCCAATCCAATGTTTTCCGAATGGAAAGCATTACATTGGCTGAGATCATAAATTCTGATGTCAGTTAAGGAGGCAGATCGGGGATGGGGCCCGCATCGGGAGACCCGCTTGGTGCTGGAAATAAAGCAGATTACCTTTTTAAGGGGGCCAAGGGGTGAGCAAGTCACCTAAATGGTTTTAACACTTTAGGGTCAGATATACTTGGTGTTCCTTCAACAATGTTTTTGTTCTCTGCTTCAAAAAAAAGTTTTGTACACTGGCAGACTATTCTTAAGTCTTATAATGAATCGTTATAAATGTTAGTGTCTTTCCTGTTTTAAATTAAAGACACGTTTAGGGTTGTTTTCTGTTTGTTTTCATAAGTTTTGTTACTTTGTAGATCAACAGATTGCTAACTTCTCTGACAAGCAAAGTGTTAAATATTTAACTTGTGAGTTCATATGGTAATAATGCTCAGATTGGCCATACATATACTATATGTAACACAAGAATTCATTTTCACACAGAGCAACTGAAAACACTGCTTATGAGTGAAAGATTGATGTCATAAAGTGGAGTCAGACATAGTTCAGGGAGGCACAAGGCAAGATTCAGAACTTGGAAAATGTAAACGTCACAGCACCCCTGTTATTTTCCATAATGTCTTCTATGTAAATGCCTATTTTTTTTTTATTTTATTTTTTTTAGCTTTTGCCAACTGGTTGATTTGTAGTATTTTACAGTGGGTTTTATAGAATGTAAAAATGATACACCTCTTTGTACTGACTTTTTAAATTGCTTTGACTGAGCTGAAAATGGTTGCTCGTGGGTAGTTGTGAGCCTGTTGTCAGACTACAATACCAATGATTCTTAGCTAGTCTGTATGGGCTACACCCCATTAGATTTCATCCCACACTGAAGGGATATCTAACCTTAGAACTACAGATATCTTTTACATTCTTGAAAGCAAAACCATCACTTCTCTGAAAAAGAAAAATGAAAACTAACCTACTAGAAAGATGATTCCTGTTATTTGAAATGCATTTTAAAGTTTAAGCAATTGAAGTCATGTGAATTTCTACATTTGATTTTCATACCTCACAAATAGTTATTTTTATACCTAAGGCAACAGTAAACAGAATATCCTAATTCCTAGGAAGTGATAGTTCCCAATTTAATGTACTGTGTCGGGTAAATGTGGTTGGTCCTATTCATTTGGAAATTCATCATTCTTAGTTTTTGTAGTATTATTAAATGTACTTTTTAAAAATATTTTTTTTTTATTTTTTTTTACAGTTGTGTTAATAACTTTTCCACAAGAATGAGGAGTTTGTTCTACAGGTGTTACTTGAAGGAACATCACAGACTGATGTCTCATCCAGCTGCTGTACATTTTAGGAAGGTTTGCCTTGGCTGCCATTCAGTTGCCACTCCTGGCCTATCACCAGCCTCCAAAGCAAACCTTCCTGGACTGTAGGCGGCCAAAGGCTGGAAATAGTATGCAAGGCTATCAATTGCTTGTTGATAGTGGATTTCAGGGTTAAACCTTTCCGAAACAGATTTCACTCCTGTTATTATTGAAAATTTATAGAGATTAAGCTGTTATGTGGTGGGAGTGTTCCTTTAAATGGTTTTATCAGTTTTAGGGCATTTATCATTTTGTCAGTGGTTAGTTTGAAGCTAAATTGTGAATACCATTCTCATGTGTATATTGATCTGTGGAGCATGTCATGCTTATGTTCTCTATAAATTCGAAGATGGATATCCTTTCTTGTCTTAAAAAAACAAAACAAAAAAAAAAAAACGTATGTCCATTATCGAAGAACACCAACATACCCGTAGTGGGTGTTGCTTACAGCCAGGTTTCTAAACATTTTTTTTCTTTTATCTATGCTTGTTCATAAGAATTATGTTACCTTTACTCCTTTATAATGACATTTTATTTGCTGATCAGATAATCTACTATGTGTGGCACCTGGTCCTCTTTGAAATATCACTAGTATAACACAAGGCAGGACCCTTACACAAACGTGGATGCTTGTGAAATTAATTTGGTTGCAACATATTGCTGTACTAGAGTAGCCCAAGGCGTATGTGTGGTGTATAAAACTCCCCGTAACTTAAAATACAAAAATATCAGAGGTGTATTGTCCATCAAAACTAAAAAAAACATAGCCAGGCGCAGTAGAATATAATCATCAATCCTTAAGTGTGGGCATTTGTACATTTAAGATTATTAAAGGCAACTATTATTTTCTAATAAATATTTTAGATTAGACTAACTACAACACACAATTTATTTTCTGTATAACTGAAACAATATGCACAGTCCGCTCTATATTATATTAGAATCAGGCTTAACAGGGAGAGGAACATACTACACATACATGTCTGAGCTGACTGGCTACAGCATTCAGTTTTACTGAACATTGTTATACAGTAAAAGGCTTGTGGATTAAGTTTGTGGTACATGGCAACAGTTCAGTGTGGTGCAGGCTAGGTATAGGATTATAGATAGTGATCTGCATGGCTATCTTTTGATTTAGACAAAAATAAAACACTAATTATAGTGAGTGGTGTCGAGTGTTTTTTTTAAGAAATGAAAAATGATAGATTTCATTCTAACATACTGCTTTGTAAACCATACTTTTCATACACTCCCAAAGAATAAACTTATCATGGAAAATAAAACCTCAGTAAATTTTTTGATGATTTTCATGTTTATGATGATGATTTTCAGAGCCAATCCATTGCTAGGTTTAAGGTTATCTGATTTAAAAGTACATAGACATTGAGAAGTCTTTCCTCTGACAATTGAGTGTCCATGAGATTAGGTTATATTTATTTTTGTTAATTTGGTTTTGTTGTATCCTGAGACACTTTCAGTTGCTTGTTGCATATACTGGGTAACTGCAATCGCTTCAAGACCGGTTTACCCTAACTAGTAGCCTTAACATTTATACTGGAGTTTAAGTTTAACATCACATTGAGTTATAAGATATATTTGACTCCTAAATTAATGGGAAATAATATTGATGAGCATTACAAATACTTTTTTTTCTTTTCTTATGTCGAAGTTTGAATGTATACTCTACACAGGAGTGTCCAGTTGGTTAAGTCTGGGTCTTTGCTGTTTTTTCAACACTTACGATATTAAAAAAAAAAGTGGTATATAAATCAATGACCAACAGAATCTTTATATTCTACATAATAGTTTGTTCAGTAACCTACAATAAATTTTTAGACTTTTAATTATTTATTTTTTTTCCAATATCTTTTGGTGCAAATTAGCAACATAAATTGTGTAATACATTGCATAGTGTGTGTGTGTATGTGTATGTATGTGTGTATATATATATATATATATATATATATATATATATATAATATATTTATTTTTTTTACACCTTAAGGCCCTTTATTTTTGACAAGCTTTGCATAGGGAATATTTTTATTCTTGCTTCTAATATGAAATATTTTCCCTTAGCGTGAGCAAGAGAATGCCATGGCACGACTCAAAAAACAGCAGGAGGAACTTGAACAAATGAGACTGCGCTACTTGGCAGCTGAAGAGAAGGACGTGGTAAAGACAGAGCGCCAGGAGCTGGAGGAAATCCGGAATGAGCTCAACAGGTGCATTAAAGCAAACTGTTACATAAATGAAGAATAACACATACTTTACAAATGGGGGTGGGTTGTTTTTTAAAGGGAAATGTACCCCTTTTCCATTTGATTTCTGCATAGCTTTGTTTATTTGAGCAATCTCTCCCATTTAGGTTGTTTGTGTTTTTTTTTTATTTTTTTATTTTTTTAAATTAACTCCTAAATTAAATGCCTTCCTGTCTTCTTCCCTGTTGGCAAACCAATGTGCCAGCCAGTAAAATGCATTTTAAAAGGGTTCCTGCTGATGATGGCAAATGTGATCCAAAAAGTCTTTGATCATTTTACGATTCTCTAACAGAGTCCAAAGGCTTAGTACATTTCAAAATCAGAAGCTGAACTGAATTGTTAAAAATAATTTTCCATAGCATGTTTGCTAGTGTTTACACCTGATTTTTATTTATTTTTCATTTCACACTTCTGCATATCCTTTACATCATACAATTATCCATGACTAAGTATATATTCCAATAAGAGTCCATAAAAATCAAAACCTCATTATAATTATAATTATGCTTTTCTTTAATGTTTACCAAATAGTATGTTTTACTGTGATTTGATGTGTCCTTTTAATGTTATTTCTCTTGATTAATTGTATAATTAGGCTCAGGCAATTAGAAGAAAGAAAACCGCCCAGTGCTACAAGTGACATTGCAAGCGGTCGAATTGATGGCTCTGGATCCAGACCACATGAGGACGGGTTGGAAGATTATTTGACTCGACTGATAGAAGAGAGGGACACCTTATTAAGGACTGGAGTGTACACCCATGAAGACCATATCATAAGTGAACTAGATAGACAGATTCGAGAGGCAATGGCAAAAAGAAGCATCCGATAAGGAATGATTTATAAAGACATTCTTTGTCTTAAAGCAGATGGGCTGGACCTACAGCAGTAGTGCGCTGGTCCTAAAAGTACAAGGTCTTGTTAAAGAACTGTGTATTCTGGGAAGTAACCTATGCATCATTTTACTAAAATATTTTTATAAAAAAATAAAATAACTTATGGTTTTTACTGCTTGTCACTTTTCTGTGCATGGAAATATAAAACACTCATGTTTCCATGCACTGTGTATTTGTAACACATTGTTTGTACACCACCACTGTAGTTCTCTTTATTTTTATTTTTTGTGAATATTTTTTTTTAATAAGCTGTTTGTGATATGCTTAAAATAATTGTGACAGATGTATATTGTAACTAATAAATATTTTAAATTTGCTTTGTATGCCATATTTCCTTGTTTGTGCTTACTGTGGCATTTATGTATGATCTCATTCTGTAGAAAATACATATTTGATCGTTTTCTTGGTATATTCATTGGCCAGCAATTACGGTCAATGACAGCTGAATAGCAGCTGTATTTGTAGTGAAATATATTTTTTTTACATACAGCTTCGGTGCAGTCCTGGGTATGCATCAAATACAAGCAAACTTACAGTGCCTGTATATGTATATACTTGTTTTAATTACATTTGAAAAAAAATAACTACCCCTCCCCCAATGTTTGGTTTTAAATGATTTTTTTCCTTTCGTCTTTTCAACTTCAGCTTGCATGAAATTAAAATAGTAAACTGTTAACTTATTAGCTATTAACTAAACTAACTAAAAATTAAATTAACAATTTACACATGCCTATATTGTTTTACTTATTGTAATGAAAGAAATTGTTCTGGTTAAATGGAAGGGGATTATTTATCACCAGCTGAACCCTTTTAAACTTAGTCTATCTCAGTAGCATTTGTCTGAGACACATACGGTAGTCCAACTGGTTTAAAAGGATTTAAAAAAGAATTCGAGTCTGATTTTTGTTATTCGAAAAATCCACATTCCATTGTTATTTGTTTGAAGTCATATGACTGTTTAATTGATTTTGGGGTTCTTTTGGTGTAACCTCCATGTCAGTTACAAAAGAGATAAAGTATTAAAATATGTAGTTTTTGCAAATTTTAACTGGTTTATAGTGTTCACCATGTTTGTCTTCCTGAATTAACTGTTTGTAAATATTGCGTTGATTATTGGATATTGTCAATACATAATGTTCTGTGGACTTATGTTGAACATAAGAAGAAATTTAACTTCATTATGAATAGACTTGACTAATTTGTATAAAATATTGATACACACTCAAGCGGTTAAAGTCTACATACACTGTTTGAATTTGGTTTATTTCAATATTCAATGTATTTTTACACCAGCCTGTCCTTGCTAAACTTTGTGTGTTCAGGGAAATTATCTTGAAAAATTAGGTACTCACAATTCACTGTAGTTCATCTGAATTGTACGATCGCTAAACTGGTTCAATTGTGCCTGTCTGCTTACAAACCACATTGCCCATAGGACTTATTTAACCAATCATTGTTAACAGGAGTAGTCCCAGAAGATTGGAAATTAGCAAATGTTGTGCCCATTCACAAGAAAGGTAATAGGGAGGAGTCGGGCAACTATAGACCAGTAAGGCTTACTTCAGTAGCGGGGAAAGTAATGGAAACCATGTTAAAGGATAGGATTGTTGAATATCTAAAATCATAGATTTCAAGCTCAGAGACAACATGGGTTTACTTCAGGGAGATCATGCCAATTTAATCGTATTGATTTTTTTGTTTGGGTAACTAAAATAATAGATCAGGGTGGTGCAGTAGACATTGCATACTTAGGTTTCAGTAAGGCTTTTGACACTGTTCCACATAAAAGGCTCATCAATAAACTACAATCTTTAAGATTGGATTTCAATATTGTTGAATGAGTATGGCAGTGGCTGAGTGACAGGCAACAGAGGGTTGAAGTGGAGTATATTCAAAGCATGCTCTTTTTACCAGTGGGGTACCTCAGGGATCTGTACTTGGACCCATTCTCTTTTATATTTCTATTAGTGATATTGCAGAAGGTCTTGATGGTAAGGTATGTCTTTTTGCAGATGATACTAGGATATGTAACAGGGTTGATGTTCCAAGAGGGATAAGCCAAATGGCAAATGATTTAGGTAAACTAGAAAAATGGTCAGAGCTGTGGCAACTGATATTTAATGTAGAGAAGTTCAAGATAATGCACCTTGGACGTAAAAACCCAAGGGCAGAGTATAGGATATTTAATACCCTACTAACCAACATCTGAGGAAAGGGATTTAGGAGTCATTATTTCAGATGACTTAAAGGTAGGAAGACAATGTAATAGAGCTGCTGGAAATACTATTAGAATGCTTGGTTGTATAGGGAGAGGTATTAGCAGTAGAAAGAGGGAAGTGCTCATGCCATTGTACAGAATACTGGTGAGACCTCACTTGGAGTATTGTACACAGTACTGGAGACCATATCTTCAGAAGGATATTGATACTTTAGTAGCCCTTCTCAGAACTCTCTCTAAACTGGTTCATGGATTGCAGGATAAAACTTGCCAGGAAAGGTTAAAGGATCTTAACATGTATAGCTTGGAGGAAAGGCGAGACAGGGGGGGATATGATAGAAACATTTAAATACATAAAGGGAATCAACACAGTAAAGGTGGATACTATATTTAAAAGAAGAAAAACTACCACAACAAGAAGACATAGTCTTACATTAGAGGGGCAAAGGTTTAAAAATATCAGGAAGTATTACTTTAAAGAGAGGTTAGTGGATACATGGAATAGCCTTCCAGCTGAATTGGTAGAGGGCAACACAGTGAAGGAGTTTAAGCATGTGTGGGATAGGCATAAGGCTATCCTAGATTTAAGATAAGGACAGGGACTAAATAAAAGCATTTTGAAATATTGGGCAGACTAGATGGGTCGAATAGTTCTTATCTGATGTCACATTCTGTGTTTCTATGACTGCATCGGAAACCCATCTATAACTTGTGCTATCAGAATTGCTAGTAAATGTATAAATTTTCAGATAAAACCATGTAAAGCTAGGATACCTCCCCTCTCCTGTCATTTGTCGGCAAGGGCCTCTATGACAAATGACTGACAGAGGAAAGCCCCTCCTTCAGACAGTCGTCCACTCTCATGGTTGATAGGGGAATACATAAATTGTGTGTCTGATGTGAATCCATTCTGACACATAAAAGACAGGGCGAGAGTGACCCATGAAGGTGATGGTGGTGCTTGTACACTGGAGAAGAGTCAGAACTCCTTAACAGGTCCTAAAGCAATTGAATATTGAATTGATCACTGTAATAAATGCTTAAGTAAAAATTTAAATTCTCATGCATTTCGTAACTCTCACCCAGCCTAGTTTTGTTTGATCGTCATGAATTCTTGGGAAACATGTTAAAGATTGATTATTTTATATTGTATTTTTAAAAACTTTTTTTTTTTCTTTTCCTGAGATTTTTTTTACACTTGTTTTCCCTAACATAATTTATTAACGTTTCTGCCTGTGTTGCCTATATTCATAGTAATCATGGTCCTTCATCTGTTAATGATAATTGTTTAGTAATGGTAACTCAAGTAATTTGCTCACATTTTCTCTGCAATATTTTGGTATGTTTGTAATGCCTGTTCACTATTTTTACTAGCAAAAACATTACATTGAATCTACCCAATTTACTGTTCAACACAGGAATTAACTTTATATTTGCATAAAATCTTGCATGCACAGAACTCTTAAGAGCACCCTACCCCAGGCCCCATAACAAATAAAAGGCAGCATAAGTTTACTCTAAGCACCAGATCCACTACAGCTTAAAGTTGTGCTTTTGGTGCAAAGAGCCTGTCCCTGCTGGCTGACAATTGTATACACTGCATGTTCACTCAGACCGCTACTTCCTGGAGCAGTTATACAGTCTTTGCTCTACAAAAATACACTGAACACCATGATGCTCTGCTAGTTGGAAGCATTGGATTAGTCAATATCATCGGTAATAATGAACTCTGCCAGAGAAGCAGCGGCAGACGCAGCTACACTTGCAGGCTGGGAAAATAAAGGTGAATACATTTGATTTAACATGTTTGCTTTCATAAATAGTAAAGAAATGAACAGTGAGACTGCAGGAGCATGACCTATAATATGTCTTTTTAGACCTGCAGTGGTACTTTTCCATAAAAGGTTGTGAAGCACTGGTATCTGTCATAGGAATATTGCACGGGAATAAAATGTCACACCTTGCATTACAAGCAGCCACTGTCTGTAAAACCTATGTAATGTTTGCACAATGTGAGTAGCACCATCCATTTGGGAGGTTTGTCACTGATTTGAACTTGCACTCCATGCCAAAAGTGATCAGCCCTCCCCAATATGCGGAGTTCTGACCAAACTTGTGTTTTAGTGCATAAATGCATGTCTCGTTCACTCACACTCTCTCCACTTATTTAATGTAGACACATGATGTAAAATTTGGACACATTTGGTTGAGTACTGCAAGGTTATGGACACACATATTTCTCCTTTCTTTTTAAGTTCCAGTATTCTTATTTTACTGCTTACTACTATTTACTATTTTACTGCTAAACTTTGTTTTTGTTTGTTTTTTAAAATCTATATGAAATTACCAAAGTAAAAAAAAAAAAAAAAAAACAATGTGTCCAGTGTGCATTCAGTTGAAATGTGTTGCTTGATGAATATGTGAAGACAGACAAGAGGGCAAGTGACCCCCTAGGCCAATATCATACAGGGGTTATACGGTATGAAACTAATTAAGACTGAAATTGGGGGCTGATTAGTCATTCTTTGAAACTAATTGGTTTGGAATGAGCAATTCAGACAACTGCATAGTGTGCACCAAAACTTGTAAAATGTGCATCTTCTGGACTCTCTCACCTTGACGATTACAAGTGAATCTCTGAGTGGCTCATTTCCATTTCTTCAAAACCCATACATGCTACTGACCGGCAAATAAAGCAACCTCTGCTGAAACTCTAAAAAGTATTTTACTGATCTATCTGTTTAGAGGCGACATTTAAGGGAAATTGTTTATTGTACCTAAAATTCTTTCAATGTATCATTCCATGGTAGAATAGAATTTTGGAGTACATGCATTTCTGAATATTATAAGGAATTAATTGTTTTGTAAATCTTTTATGTTACATCCCCCACTCACTCGGTTTTTTCTCCTTCCATATCATAAACAGGAAAGATTTGCCCTCCTCTTCATCCCTTACCTAATTCAGTCACCATCACATCCACTTCATCGACTTATTCCAACATCTGCATCCACTTCTGTTCTTTCAGGGTTAATTTATAGAACATGATTCTGCATGTTTTTAAAATTGTTTTTGACCTAATCATCTTCATTGTTTAATTGCAAACCACCTAGATCAGCTATATATAATTATTATTAATAGAGTGCCAACAAATTCCATAGCAGTGTACCATAAGTGGACAAACAGGTTGTTGAGGGTCCTACTCAAACAAGATTACGTACTAGAGCGAGTGGGGTAAAGTAGCACAAGAGGTAAGAGAAGGATCTATTTCATGTACGTGAAAAATTGGTTGCTCTTCCAAGATAGGGTTGGGAACTGAAAACATAGACAGGTACCAATTATTATTATTTTTTTTTATTTTTTTGCAATATTGCTTGATCCTAGCTCCATTGATAGTCAACTGTGTACACATCCACCTGTGGATGACAAATCTTATTTATCTATGCTACAAAATACAATCCGTGCATTTACTAGAATCTCTCTAGCACTCCTTTCCCTATGTTTTAGTGCAATAACCGCTTAGCCGTCTTTAATCACTTGTATTTTTTTTATTTTTTTTATGGATATAAATCCACATTCATAAACATAAAATAAACATTTTCAA